AAGGGACATTTTGCAGTTCCCACACCTGAATATTCAACTCCAGTTTTATCTGACTTGTGAACTGATAATTGTTAGAGAACACACAGAGATTCAGGGCAGGAGTGAGGAAATCCCCAAGTGGATCCTGCTGTTTTTAGCAGAACATTCCCGTTCCAACTGCTCTGCTCCCTGAACTCCAAAGCAGTTCCCAGAGGATGTAACTGCTCCTCCAAGGACTGAGGTTGGATATCTTATTTAGCATTAAACATCTGGGGCTCCTCCTTTAAGGAATTTCTATGGTTCTTTGGCTTCCAGGGAATGATTTAAATCCGGTTCTTTGATTTACTTGTTGCCATCCATGATGGGATGGGTGTTCCCTGCTCCTGACTCCCTCCCCCTCTGTAAGAACCATGGAAAGCCCAGCAGAGGCAAACACAAAGGAGAGTTTTCCTCACCTTTAAAGGGGAAAATGGGAGAAGGAACTGAACATGCTGGATCCTGCAAATGGAAAGGCTCTTGGATACTCTGCTTTTGAGAAAGGCTGGAGAGGGAGTCAGGAAGCAAAGGCACTTCCAAAAGCATTCTCAGTGCTGTCCTTGTGCAGGTATTCCAGCCTTTCAGGAGAGGTGAGGGAAGGAAACCGGGATATAACATAATACATCCATTACAAGGTGCTGAGGTAAGAACGTGGGATCTTATCACCCGGGGCCAGAGAGGAGGGAACACAACTGGCATTCCCGCTCCTGGAGACATCTGAGCCTCGTAAACTCGAGCACCAGCCGTTCCCAGTGGGATGTGTCTGCCCAAGATCAGCCTCCTGCCCGGGAAGCTGCCGGCTGGGCCGGATCGTGTCCCTGCGGAGCTGCCCGGGATGCTCCTGGCAGATTCCGGCTGTCTCTGCCTGGTGGCGGGAACGGGGCACGCTGGGTGTGCGCCCAGGAGAAGGGATGATGGATGCTCATTCCTTCAGATCTCTGTGTCTTGGCTTCTACTGGAAACCACAATGTTTTCCCCCCTCCCCATCTCCCAGTACAGCCGATTAATCCTGACTGGCCTCCGGTGCTCCAGGAGAAATCCCAAACATGCCGCACCAGAGCCAGGGGAGCGAGTCCTGAAACTGGAGCTGCAGCCTGAGACTTCAGTAAACAGGATGGGGAGAACATGAGGCAGAGAGTCCAGCCAGCACTGAGATCCCTCTGGAAGAACCCAACCCAGAGTTATCCCAGAAATCCAGTGCCATCCGTGCTTTGCTTCCACCTACAGGGGGTGATTTTTTGGGGTGTTTGTTCTTGGCAAGTTCTTTCTTCGTCATCACCCATGATCTTACTTCATTTTTTCAGACCCTGAACTCCAGATCATTTTAAATACCTGATTTAACCCTCACAAACTGTAGAATTCAAAGCAGGGGGCAACTGATTTGCCTTAAATCAAGGAATTTGCACCCAAACCAGTGCCTGGCTCCTGATGGAAGAGTGAGGAGGGGCAAGAAGGACCTCCATGCTTGGCTACTCCTTCAGCAAATTGAGGAGTGGTTGTGGAGGTCTCCAGGAAATCCATTCCCCCTGGGAAATGGGATTTGGTGTCAGCCCCCCCCAGTTCCTGGAGCGCTGCCGTTCTGCTGATGTTGAAACAACTAAAGGTGTTGTAACAACCAAAGGGAACAGTTTTAGCTGCACTTCCCTGAAAAAGAGGTTTCTTTGTGCAGTGGGAGGTGACAAAGCCCTCAGTGAGAAGGTGTCAGTCCCCATTCCAGGTAGACACGCTGGAGGACTGGAGACAATTGAGGAATGTGAAGGCAAAATCCACTGGAGCGCTGACAGTTGATAAATACCTGGAAATGCTCTCCATGCCCCTTCGTGCCTTTATTAATATTCATATATGCTAAAGGAGCAGCAGCAACACTGACTGCAGGTACAGTTGAACATTTGTGCAGTTTTCCTGAACAGTGGAAGCAGTGACATTAAACATATGCAGGAATCCCCATAGTTATAAATATTTACAAATATTGATTTTGGCAAGAGCACCTAATTCAGATGTTGTGAGCTCCCTAATGCAGGGTTTGTGTCTGTCACCGTGGGCTCCTCAGGCGGAGTCTCAAATCCGGGGACTTCCCTCAGTGTCTCACTTGGTAATGCAATTTAAATATTTGGGAAGTAGAGCCGGGGAATAAGCCCAGCACTGTGTGATGGGCACAGGGGTGGGAATGGTCACTGCCTGCTCAGGTTTGCCTCAGTTGCTTTAACTCGATCACAAATGGATGTTTTCCTGAAGTTTCAGTGCGTGGGACAACTTCTTGTATCACAGAATATCCTGAGCTGGAAGGGACCCTCAAGGATCATTGAGTCCAACCCCTGGCCCTGTCCAGGACACCCCAACAATCCCACCCTCTCCCTCAGGGCGTTGTCCAAAGGCTTCCTGAGCTCTGGACAACTTCCCTGGGGAGCCTGTTCAGTGCCCGACCACCCTCTGGGGGAAGAACCTTTCCCTACTTATGCAATGTAAATATATCAGAACTCCTGAGAAGTGTGGAGAAACATTCCTGCCCTGAGAAGACACCTGGGTGGGTTTTCTTTGCTCATTTTCCCAGACACCAACAGTGATTTCCTTTCATTTTCCGTGGAGACGTCGCTTCGTTCTTTTATTTTCTTTTTTCTTTTTTTTTTCAACTTGGAAACAAATAGGAAAAAACTCTCCTAAGAATAAGCTTTGTGGAAACCAGGGTCAAAACGAGCAGGGACAATACATCCCTAATGAAACTTCCCTAAACCATCCAGCTCCAAATTGGGCTTTTCATTCCCATTTCGCTCCAGATGTCAGTGAAAGCACAGCTCCTTCTAAAGCAGCCTAATGTATGTAAACCCTCGCAGGAAGCAGAGCCTGCAAAGCCAAGGAGACTGCAGATGGAGAGAAAAGGCTCCTGATTTCAGAAAAATAACAAAACCTGTTTTACCATATTGTGCATTAAATATTGTTCATTTGCATACTTTCCATGGCGAGGTTCTGGGAGCCCACCATGTGGTGGACTTGTTGGAAGTCGGGAAAGATCCTCTTTTTCCAAATGGAGATGTGTTAGTAGAAGCTGCTGCTTAATTAGAAAACAAAAATAACTAGGGTTATTTTCTTTTTAAATTCTCTATTTTTTCCCCCTCCTCCTTTTGTAGGTTTTTATCGCCCGGATTTTGGGCTGTTTGCGTGAAATTCCGCGGGATCGGGAAGGGAAGCTTAGGTGCAATCGCTGCAAAGAACTGGATCCCGGTGTTTTACAACAGTCTGCCTGCTTGGAACAGGCGCAGCAGGGATTCCTCCATGGAAAATTTCCAGCAGATAGCCAGGCAGATTGGAAATACCTCTTGGATGATTTTTTTTTTTTGCATCTTTATATAGAATAGTGGAGTTTTTGGTGTATCTTTAGTGCACCCGCAGCTGAAGTGTCGGGTGGTCCGAATGTACAATGCCACAAATTAATGAGGGAAACACAGACTTCCGGAGTTGAAAGGCACCCACAAGAATCATCAGCTCCTGGTCCTGCACAGGACACCCCGAGAATTACAGTTAAAGGAATTAAAGTGTGCTCAAGGAGAAGGAAAAATCAGTGTCCGTGGGGTGGGAGCCTTTTGTGCAGGGTTTGGAGAAGGATGGACTGAGATATTCTTGGAGAGAGGAGGTTTCCTGTCTCAATGGCTGTGGCAGGGCTTGGAATGAGATGATTTTAAGGTCCCTTCCAACCCAGAATGTTCTGGGGTTCCATGATTCTGTGATTCTGATCCCTTTCCACGTTGGGATTTGGTGATCCCGGAGCGGTGGGTGGTATCCGAGCACAGGCTCCCATTAAGTGCAGCCTTGGGGAAGGCTCATCCCTCCCTGGAGCAGGCAGGGGTTTGGAGCTGGAGGTTGCCAGCTCCAAATCAATCTGTTACTTTATAAGCTGCCAACATAAAGAGTGTGGGGCGGGCGGTGGGAGCTGGAGTGCTCCGGCATTCCGGGGGGTTTGCAGGAGCCAGAGCAGCCCACACAGCTGGCTCCAGCGTGGATCGTGCTGGAGAGGGTGCAAATAAAATTGGGAGGTGGTAAATCGTAGTTTCAGGGGGGTTTCTTAAAGAAGAAGGAATTTTTAGCCCCAGGGAGATCCATTCCCACCTCCCGGAGCTGCTGGGATGTGTCACTTGTCACCTGCTCTTCCTGGTGTGCTCCTGTCAGGACACGGGGTGTTCTCTCACACAGACCACCCCAGGGCACAGCAGATCAAACTGCCACCTTCAATCCCTAGGGGAATTCCCTCCGGACCTAAATAGGATTCCCTGGGCTGGGGAGATCCACCCCAAATTTCCAGGAGGTTGATGAGTCCAATTCTGGGTGCCGAGACTTGGAGACCCAAGGGGGGACTTGGGCTGGAGCAGGAGCCTTTGGTGCTTCCAGCCTTGAACATCCCATTTGATGGAAGCTTTGCAAAGCCTGACCTTAATTAGGCATCAGGTCTCTTGATTATTCTGTGAATGTGGGTGAGTCAAGAGGGTAAATCCTTCCTGGAGAGCTTATTGGAGGAATTATTTTTCTGTACATTGAAGCAATTCTTTTATAATTAATCACAGAACCCCAGGGTGATTTGGGTTGGAAAGGACCTTAAAGCCCGTCTCATTCCAACCCCTTGCCCTGGGCAAGGACACTTTCCATTAGACCAGATTGCTCCAAGCTGGCCTTGGACACTTCCAGGGATGGGGCAGCCGCAATTCCTACAGTTCCTCTGGACAGCAGCTAATACTGAAGGTGGTTTTAATTAAAGCAGACAGTGGAGAGAATATGAAGGCCCAGGCACCAGCTTCATCCTTTGGCAGCAGCAAAGGGGTTGGGGAAGCCCCTGTTTGGGCAGAAGCTTCTCGTTGTGTCCTCAGACAAGGTTCTTCCTGACCAGGATGCTCCTCCTCATTCCCATGGATTAAAGCCCTGGATAAAAGCCTCTGGCTTAGCCCTGGCAAGGCCGAGGGTGTTAATTTGCTCTTTCTCCCCTCTTCCCTTCTCTGCAGCAGCAACAGGAGATGTTGGCCATGAAGCACCAGCAGGAGCTGTTGGAGCACCAGAGGAAGCTGGAGCAGCACCGGCAGGAGCAGGAGCTGGAGAAGCAGCACCGGGAGCAGAAACTTCAGCAGCTGAAAAACAAGGAGAAAGGAAAAGAGAGTAAGTGGCCAAAGCTCCCTTGTTTGGGTGGTGACAGGGAGAGCAGGGGAGTGGGAACCAGAAAGGCTCTTTCTAAACCTGGAGGAACGTCTGTGAGTTCCTGGGCTGCACAGGGAACTGTTGGGAGGGATTGAGGGGAAGAGAGAAATGTGTTTCTCTGCTTTATCTCCAGTTTTGTCTCACTAAATGCCTTTTTAGTGTTTTTCAAAAGGAAGCCTGGCCTCTCTTCCCTTGATTTAACATTTTTTGAAGTATTTTTGGCAGCATTCCTAATGGAGGCAGAATATTAAGCCCATAAAACACCAGATGCACCCTGCATTGCTTCTCTCTTTCACTCCTCTGAATCCCACTCCTTTTAAGACGTCGTCGAGTCCTCAGTTCTTCCCTTTAAAGTGTTTCCATTCAGCAGGAGCTTCTTTCAGGAGGTTGCAGATTGTGGGGGCCCTTCCCACGTGTCATTATGCACTTGATGAGATCATTATGGCCTCACAATTTCCCTTATCAGAGACACTTTGGGCTGCTTGTTCTGGTTTCTTTTAGGAGTGAAAGGGAGGAACAAAGCCTCGCCAAGTTGTGCCCTCCACTCGCTGGGTCTTCGTTTCACAGGGAATAAAGGAGCTCCTGGTGGAAGAAGTGGTGGAAGGGGGTACCAGGAGGTGGGATCCTGTCTGGGAAACAAGAATAAGATAGAGCTCCAAGAAGAACTTTTCTAATAGGAAAGTCTGTGAGAGTAAAAAAAAAAAAATGACCTGAATGTTGACTCTGCCGCTCCCTGCGTGTGAATGTGGCATTCTTGGAATCATCAAGGTTGGAAAAGGCCTCCAAGATCATCAAGTGCTACCATTCCCCCAGCACTGCCAAAGCCACCATTAACCCATGTCCCCAAGTGCCACATCCATATGTATTTTGGACACTTCCAGGGACTCCACCACGGCCCTGGGCACTTTCCATTGCTTGACCGCTCTACCAGTGGTGAAATTTTCCCTGATATCCAACCGGAGTCTCTGTAAAGTGGGATCAAAGAGCCTTTTGGATGCAACACAGAGGTGCAGAGGAAAAATGAAAGAGATTTTGGGGATGTTAAGCTGAAGCTCCTGTTCCCATGGCTACGGTTTTATTTTTAAATTACTTTTTAGTTAAGAAGTACTGTGGTGTAGAATCATTAGAGCACCTCAGCTCTTGAGGACACTCAAGTTATTTTTCGCACATCGGAAAATTTGGAGCAACGCAGCTAAAATTGTCCTAATCTGAAATATGGAGAGTGTGGGATAGAGGTGGAGTTTCTTCTCCCTCCTTGTTGACACCTCTGCTCTGGAGCCAGGCTGGGAGAGCTGGGGGCTTCCTCTGGAGAAGAGAAGGATCCAGGGAGAGCTGAGAGCCCCTTGCAGGGCCTAAAGGGGCTCCAGGAGAGCTGGAGAGGGACTGGGGACAAGGGATGGAGGGATAGGACAAGGGGGAATGGCTTCCCAGTGCCAGAGGACAGGGAGAGATGGGATACTGGGAAGGAATTGTTGGCTGTGAGGGTGGTGAGGCCCTGGCCCAGGTTGCCCAGAGAAGCTGTGGCTGCCCCATCCCTGGAAGTGTTCCAGGTCAGGTTGAAGCAACCTGGGCTAGTGGAAGGTGTCCCTGCCCATGGCAGGGGATGGAACTGGATGATCCTTAGGATTCCTCCCATCCCAAACCCTTCTGTGGTATCTGGGACCTTTCAACCTCCAGCTGAAAGGGGAGGGGAGCTCTTGTAACCCTCCCCATCCTAAACTGTTCAGGTTCAAGTCTTCCAAAGAACAGGTTTATCCCAAACTGACAGGACACAGCCACACTGGATTGTTTTAAAGGTGGATTAAAGGAAACACTTTTTGCAGAGAGAAGGCCTTGAAGCATGAATTTGTCACCTCATCTGGTCTTGCTGCTCAGGAATTTATCTCCAGCTCCTCAGCTGAACTTTCCCCCAAACCCGTGTTTGGAGAGCGAGTGTGAAATGCAGGGCTCCAAAAAGGGGAATTTTTACGCTTTTGAGCAGTCTTTCAAAGTTTGAACAATATTTCACCCTCAGGCTCTACCTGATAAGAAATGCTGCAGTTTCCTCCTCTCGAGGAGAGACCACGAATTGTTCCCCCTGTGTGTCAAATGTCACCACGTCGTCGAGGAGGGTCCGGGAGCCGAAAATACCACGGGGTGATCTTTGAGTTTTTATTCCCAGTAGAGCAGACCGTTTTCATGGCCTTTTCATTCCCTCCTTGCCCAGATATTTTCCTTTGGAACTCCTGCTTTACGCCTTGGTGTAGATGAAGCATCATTTTCCGCGTGTCCTGGTGCCAGAGTTTGGATGCGCCGCTCCGGCAGGAGCTGTGCCTGGGAGTCTGGGCTGTCAACCCAATGAGCAGTTGGATCCATCAGGGCAGGAAAACAGCCTGGTCTCCGTTGTGGAGAGGAATCATGATGAGAAATGGCACAGCTGACATTTTAACTCTGCAAAAATCACTGAGTTTCTTCGTGAAACGTTGGGGTTTCTGTTTGAAGCAGGAGGTGGGACCCTGGGAAGTGAATTGGAATTAGTGTGCACAGGGACTCTGGGACAAAGAGGTCCCTCTTTGCAGGAGTTTTCAAGACAAAATCTACATGTGAGACATTGGGCTCGTTCCCCTCCTGCTTCCAGATGTGACTTTTAACAACTGGAGTTTCCACAAGACCCTTTTTCTCCAATGCCTTTGATTCAAAGAGAGCTGGAACACCTCGGACAAGTGTTTTATTCCAAGTGTCTTCTATACAAGTGTAAAATCCTTGAAATAAAGTGAAATTAAAGCTCTGATTACATCCCTATTTTCAAACATAACTTGTGATTCTATGCAAAGCTAAAGAGGAAAAAAAAAAAAAGGAGAGCTCCTTACTGGAGGCACTTTGTTCTTTTCCCTTTGAAAACAAAGTTCTTCTTTTGGGCTCGAAATCAAAGATTTAACTCTGAATCTTTGGAGAAATTTCAAATTCTTCCCAGGATGGGAATTGATTAAAAAACCTTGATTGTATTTTATTTTATTTTATTTTCCTTTTTTCTCGCAGGTGCAGTGGCAAGCACAGAAGTGAAGATGAAATTGCAGGAATTTGTCTTAAATAAGAAGAAGGCCTTGGCCCACCGGAATCTCAACCACTGCATCTCCAGTGACCCTCGCTTCTGGTACGGGTAAGTGGGGCTTGGCCTTGGCATCCAGCCTCTTCCCAGTTGCTGGAGATGTGGGGAATAGGCCTGATGTGCTCATGGAATGAACCAGAATTCCCAAAGTGCCCTTTCCAGAGGGTTTCAGTGGGAATAATTGCCGTGTCTGCCGGGATGGTCGCGGTGTTTTGTGCGTTGAGGCCTTTGCTGTCTTTAATCCACAGTTATTCCAACTCACAAGTCCTACACGTCACCCTGGAGAAGTTGTCCAGCTTTTCACCCAGGGTTTGATTTTCAGGTGTTATAAAACTTGAACTTCAGGAAACTGAGGAATAATTGTTCATGTCAGGAGTTGGATTTCGCTGGTCTTTGTGGGTCCCTTCCGACTCAGGAGATTCTGTGATTCACTGATTTTCAGATCAGGATAGTTGAGCAACCTCCCATTTTAAAGCCTTTAACACTTTCTGCTCATCTCAGTCTCTCAAAGTGGGAAGGTTTGTTTATTTGGCTCTTTCTGGAAACATCCAGTGAGTCCTGTCCACGCTTCCAATCACAACTGCCCCAGTATCTCTGTTTCCAACTGGAAAATCAAATTTTCAGCTGGAAATTTTCAGCTGTTGGTCTCCAAGAAACCACTTTCAGCTTCAGAAAATCACTCCTTCCATGTATAAAAGACAAGCAGGAAATTTGAGATGAGTTGAAAACTTCCACTGCTGTAACATTATGATTCCATTAAATAAAAAACCTAAGTGCTTCAGATGTTGTCATTAGTAAGAATAAAATTAATGACATTTTGAACGACAAAAATGAAGGACATCTCATTTTACCATGAAATTCGTGTTCGAGCTGAGGTTCTGACAGTGCTTCAAGTCTTAAGAACTGAACATGTGTACAGGGAGGATGAGGTCATAGCCAGAAGATGTTTCCAAATTCCAGAAACTGAGCTGAAATGCAATTTGAAAGCTCTCCCAGCTCTGAGCCAGGACAGAACTGCTGAAGTGGAGTTGGCAGAAGAATTCAAATGTTCTTCCAGTCCAGGGAGATTGAGCAGTTTTAATACATCTCTGAAAATCCAATCTGAGACTTGGGGATTTTCTTAAAGGTGGTTGAAGTCTCCGAGCCTTCATGTTCTCCATTTAACAGTTGGTTAAAATAACAGTTAATCCAGAAATGGTAGAAAACCAATAAAAATTAAGAGTGTCCAGAGAAGCTGTGACTGCCCCATCCCTGAAGTGCCCAAGGCTTGGAGCAACCTGGGATAGTGGAAGGTGTCCCTGCCCATGGCAGGGCGTGGAAGAAGATGGGTTTTAAGGTCCCTCCCAAGCTTTAAGATCCCTTCCAAGCCAAACCATCCTGGCGTTCTCTGTGTTGCAGGGCCAGGGGTGATACAGGAGGTTATTCCTTGTGTTTGGGGTTTCAGGATGTTCCCTGCCCTGTTCTAAGCTAATGCTGAGGACTTTCTGAGCACCAATATATTGTTTAGTTTCCTCATGGCACTCATTAATCCCAACATCCCCTTCCTGTGATGCTCCAGGGATGCCAGCAGGTAGAGACAACACACAAACCATTGCACAAGGATCCTTCCTTTTTCTGATGGATTTAAGGCCCATTCCCTCGTCTGTTTTGTGATGGGGTGAGGGTTGGTCTTCTGCTTTCTGACCCAGGGTGGAAGGAGGAGCCTCAGAGGCCTCACAGATCTTTCTTAGGGCCTGTGTCAGTGCTGAGTTGCTCAGCTCAGCCTTGGGGGAGGGCACGTGGCAGCGGGGTGGAGGGTTTGGAAACGCACCCTTCGCTTAAGGCAGGAGTTGAGGAAGATTTTTCCTTTCTGTTCTATTTCAAAGAACCTTTAAATTCCTTACATATTAGTATTTATTTATATGGCATCTCATAGGTTACCAGCTCAGTTCTAGAGATATTTATGTCCCCACATACTTGCCATGTGATGCAGTTGGGTGGTGGTTGGATTGAACACACGCAAACGAGCCTTGCAGGAGATGCTCCCCATGCTCCCACTGTGAGCAGGGAAGGCAATTAAGTGGTACCAGATGCTGCAAGAGCCTTTGGAAATGACACACCAGCTTTTAAGCACTTCCTTTTGGTCTTATTAAGGTTTGTGAATTCCTTACTTGAAAAAAATTGAAAGCGTTCCTTGGAAAAAAAAGCATCTCCTGAGGGTATGATGGCAGTGGCTGTGACATGAAAGATGTCCTGCTGACATGGAATCACCAAGTCCTGAAGGTTGGAAAAGACCTCTAGGATGATACCCCATCCCTGGAAGTGTCCAAGGCCAGGTTGGACGGGACTTGAAACAACCTGGTCTAGTGGAAGGTGTCCCTGCCCGTGGCAGGGGGTGGCACTGGATGAGCTTTAAGGTCCCTTCCAGCCCAAGCCAGTCTGAAATTCCATGATAGGCAACAGCAGGAGAGGTTTTTTGGAATTTCCTGATCAGACTGTTCCTCCTGTGGATTTTGAGCCCACTGGACAGTTCAGCTCCCAGGAGGTTTTGCTCTGGGAGATCCTTAAGAGTGGCTTGGCAGGAGCACCTTGGGCTCAGCAAACAAGGCTGGGATTTCCCTGGGAAGTTGTCAGCAATGCTTTGGAAGCAGCCACTCCATGTTAAAAGGGAGTTTAACTGAGTGTTTGCAGGGTGAGGAGGTAGAGAGATATAATTATACTTGAAATCAGACATTAAATTTGACGTTACATTATTCCCACCTTCCCAGGTGTCTCCACCCTCTGTGCACAAAACATTCCAGCACAGGTCCATATGTTTGAAGGTATATTCAGTGTATGTTGGGTGAACATGTTTGAAGGATAAAGTATAAAATCATGGAGTCATTAAGGTTGGAAAATACCTCTGAGATCATCAAGTCCAAGTTTATATCTGCACAGGGGTGTTTGAGGGACCTCAGAGGGCGGGGGATGCCTGAAACGAAGGGATGTGCTTTCAGGAATGCCTGCAGGCTCCATTTATGTACCATTTCCTCTCCTTCAACAGCTCTGGAATTCTTGAACAGACATGCAGAGCAGTGCCTTTTGCTGGGAGCAGCGTCACATCCCAGTCCTGAAGCCATGGAATGTGTTCCTGTTTGCAGAGCTCAATCTCTGTCATTCAGCAGCCCCAGAGCACATCAAAACAGGCCCTTTGAATTCCTGCACATTCCCTATAAAGGGATGAAAAGAGCTTCAATGTACTCAATTGTGTGCTTGAAGTCATGATTGAAAAAAAAAAAGGCAGGAGGAAAAAAAAAGCCTCTTGCTCGTGCAGAGCCAGAAATGTCAGTGTGGGACAGGAGGGGGCTCAGGGCTCTGGGATTGCAGCTTCCTGGGAGTGAAACATCTCTCTGTGCTGCCTTCCCATGGATGGAGCAGATCCCAGGCAGAGAAAACCCCTTCTGTTTTCGGGAGGGATTCAAAGATCCTTCAGTTGGGGTGTGCTTTGCTGGCAGGTGATGGTTAAAGCACGGGGTGGGTGTTTGGGGCTGGGAATGTCACACGGGAGAAATACAGCCCTGGGGGAGCCCCAGGAGTCAGGGAAATCGGGAGTATGAAGAGGGAGGGTTGGGAGAACACAGTGGATCACACTGCCTGGTGAGATCTCATGGAATGGTTTGGGTTGGAAGGGACCTTAAAGCCCATCTCGTTGCACCCTGTGCCGTGGGCAGGGACACCTTCCACCCGAAGGTCTGTGGGTGTGGAAAATGGGGATGGAGATGTTCAAATGAACTTCTCAGAGGGATTTTTTTTTTTTTGTAACAAAATCATGTAGAAAATTCAATTTGTTTTCTTGATGGTTCATTAACCCCTCGGTTTTGAAGGGTTTGACTTGCAGTGGAATTGATGCTCTGCATCTCCCCAGACTTCTGGCTTGAGCTTGCACTCAAGGAATGGGATGATTTGGGATTGGTACTGCTCAGGGAATTGGATGAATCTGTGCAGTTTTCAATTGGGAATGGCTCATTTTTGTTCCTTAAAGAACCTTTTGTATCCACATATTTTCAACCAAGGTCTCCATCAATGCCTGGTTTTTAGACACTGTAAAATTTCAAATATTCCCTTCTGTTTTTTAACGAAGTGCTGCTTTCTGTGGTCCTGTTTTCTTTAGGATTTAGAAGAAACAGAGGGTTTAAATTCTGTTCATTGAAAGTTGAGTTGTAAGAGCCCAGTGACTGTCACCTGTATGGCTAAATCAGTCATTCCGCTGGTGTAGCTCCTCTGCCAACTGGAGACTTCTCCCAGGTTGGGAGAGCTCCTGAGAAACAGCAGAGCTGGGCACAAGTCATTAAGTAGGAAAGATGCAGCCAACAGACTGGTGGGAGGCTGAGAAAACTCATTCATTATTTAATATCCTCAGCAAACAGACTGTAATTTACTTCCAGCAGCCTGCTCAAACAAAGCAATAAATTATCAGCTTGGAGAAGTTCAGCTGGGAAGGTGCTGAGAGCTTTGGCCCTGGCTCTGCTGAGCCCTTGGGTTGGGAGGCAGCGAAGGAAAGGCAGGAGACCACCTTTGGCTGCTCTTGGCCAGCTTAAATCTTCGAGGCTGTGCTGAAAATCTGGGTTTGACTTTGCTAAATCTGGTTTTATTCTGAGAAGGGAAATTGGTCGTTTGTGCCGTGGTTGAGGGGATGACAACACCCGCGCTTAGATTCGAGAACATGACTTAGCAAAACCCAGCTCAAGTACAGGCTTAGAACTTATACTAATGGTTAAATACCTTCACAGGGTGAAAATTAAATTTAGTTGCTTCCCTGTGTATGAGATTTTAGGTCTTTTTTCCTGTGAGTGCCCAGAAGGACAAAACCAGAACTGAAGTCTCACCTTTGCCCCGTTGGGCGCTGAGATCCCAGACCCTGCATTCGTCCCCTGTGTGTGTCCCTGCTCTAAAGCTTCTCCTTGTCTTTCCTCCTGTGCAGGAAGACCCAGCACAGCTCTCTGGACCAGAGTTCCCCTCCCCAAAGCGGCGTATCCGGCACCTACAACCACCCGGTCCTGGGGATGTACGATTCCAAAGACGACTTCCCGCTCCGGAAAACAGGTAGGCCCTCGTTCCTTCGCTGTCCTTCACTGGCACATTTGGTCCCCTGATTTGATTTTATGGTCCCAACAAGCTGCATTTCAGGAGGTGGTTTATTTCCCAGGCTCTGTGCTCGGTGTTCCCGGGAGGCTGGAGCTGCTGCGGGTGTCGTGTGCCAAAGGTTGTGAGATGTTGTGGTCTCAGAGCCCCAAGGTGTGGACCCAGACTGTCTCCAACTCAAAACACGAGGCAGCAAATTGTCCCCAGGGATCTCAGGAGCTTCCTTTTAAGATTTTAGAGAAACCAGGAAGAAAAGCAGGAGATAGGTTATGTTCAGATTTCCTAGTTTAGCACAGGGGCCTGAAGATTGAACTTGGCTGCTAAACAAACTGAAGAAGGAATTGCTGCCTGTTGATCTGCTTCTCTTGGAGAGACTGTATTGAAGCATCCAAACAATCCTGGAACCCATTTGCTGTACAGAAATCATATCAAATGTTGGGTTTGGGTTTTTTTGGGAGCTAACATGTGCAGCTTTGCCAAACCAGCTCCTATTTCCATGCTGGTCAAGAACAGTGGTGGAAATGTGTAGGAAACGGCACGTGTGGATCAGCATTTTTATCTTTGCAATGCTAGGAAGCTGCAGAACTGGAATAACCACAGGCAGCTGTATCTGGTGCTTTTAAGAAGTCATAAAAATTCCAAAACCATGCAAAAATCCAGCAAATTCCCGAATTCAGAGCTAAGACAGAGATCTGGGTGTCTGAAGCCCAAGTATATTTTTGCTGAGTGAGAAAAATATCGAGAAAAGTTGATTTCTCTGGGGGTTGGCATTTCACTGGCAGGTTTATACTCAAAGTCAGTAAAAAAGTTTCTGCCAGTGGAACGTCGGGACTTCCTGCAAGGACTTGGTTCCCCCCTCCACAGTCCTGTCTGGGCTGGGTTTTCTGGGCAGGTCAGTTGTTTCTCAGCTCTGCACTGTGTAACCCAGGTTGCTTGGGTTGGCCCTGATCCCCAGCTCCATATCTCAGCTCCCAGCCCGGCCAGCTCGGGATCCTCGGCTGCTGCCTTCAGGGAACGGCCGAGCTTCCAGAGCCAGGCAGGGAGCAGAGCTGCTCCTGTGGGTGGGACACAGAGCTGTGTGTTGGAAATCAGAGAAAACCACTTTTCTGGAAAGCTCACAGAGTTGATGAGGCTGGAAAAGACCTCCAAGATCCGACCAAGGCCACCACAAAACCACGTCCCCAGGCACCACATCCACGTGGTTTTTGGGCACTTCAGAGGGTGCTGACTCCATCTGTTCCAATGCCTGACCACCCTTTTCTTAAGAAGTTTTCCCAGTATCCCAATCTAAACCTCCCCTGGTGCAACTTGAGGCCGTTTCCTCTTGTCCTATTGCTTGTTCCCTGGGAGAAAAGACAGGGAATGTCCACAGGTGGAGTGGGAGGAAAGCAGGGACATGACTGAACTTCACACCTTCTGCAGGTGCTCCTTAGGTTGTTCTCAGGTCTTGTGGATCTCCAGACAGGGAGGGATGAGCACCAGGAGTCAAAAGCTGTGTTGTCCTTGCAATCAGGAATGATGATGGAGTGTCAGCCACATCTCCCTGTGGATTTACTACAGTCTTGGCTCAAATCAGGTGCCCTAAACCAGTTCCCAAGAGCTGGCAACCCTCCCTTTCCTTCTGGGAGGGCTGTGGGTGTTCTTATGGCAGCTCTTCTAATAGAAGTGGAGCAGGTTTAAGGTGCAGTGAATGGTTTAACACAATTCATAGAATCCCAGGATGGTTTGGGATGGAAGGGTTGGAAGAACTTAAAGCCCATCCAGTCCCACCTCCTGCCATGGGCAGGGACACCTTCCACTAGCCCAGGTTGCTCCAACCTGGCCTGGGACACTTCCAGGGATGGGGCAGCCACAGCTTCTCTGGGCAGCCTGTGCCAGGGCCTCCCCACCCTTATAGGAAATTCTTGTGACATTTGTAAACTTGGGCTTTTTTGTTCATTCATGAGAAAAAAATCCACTTCCACACTGCTCCCTGTGCCTCCTGCCTCCCAGGTCTGTGGGAATTTCTCATTCTGGACCACAGCATGTGGCCTGCTGGAGGGATCCATGGGTGGATCCATGGTTACATTCCCATCTGTTCCCCTTCCCCGGGCATGGTGGGTTGGTTGGGTGACAAGTGCCAAACATTTCAGCTGCACAAGAAGGCAATCAGAAATTGGCTCCAGGATGTGGGTTTTCCCTGGGAAGGGTTCCCCTGGACCTTTGGGGGTGGTACTTTTGCCTGTGTCCTTCCTGAAGGACTCCAAACCCTTGGATTTGCTGAAGGCAGGGCATCCTCCGATCTCTGCCTCTGGGGGAGGAAAGACCTCCCAGGCTCCTCTGGGCAATCACAGCATTTCCATGCACTTCCCTTGGTGCCATCCCTGTGGCCAGCCTGATTCCAAGAGGTTTTTAGCTCTTCCCTGTGCCTTGTGAAACCAGGTGATGCATTCCTGGGCTGTGAATCATTCCCACAGTATGGATGGACTTTGCCATGCTCCAAAGCCTCCCCAGCTCATCCCCTCCGGGGACCTTCTCGGGCTGGGTTTGAGGAGGGGTCACTCTTCTTGCTCCCAGGGTTCTGGAAGGAGAAGGAAAACATCTGCACATCTCCCCCTGTGCTGCTTCCCAGCCTGAGTTCTCCCTAAGACTCCTGCAGAATAAAACCCTGGCAGACAGGGGGAATTAAGGCTGATAAATGGATCTAATCACATTATTAAGAAAGGGAAGCAACCAAAGGCAGGGTTGTTTTCAAACAGGAAGATGTGGGGCTGATTTGGGTTTTCCAGAAGGCTGATACTTGTCCTTTTTGGGTACCACCATTAATCTTCTGGGATACAAACAAGTTCAGGGCAGAATTTGGGGATTTTTCCTTGTTTTCTTTTATTTTCCTTTCAACGCAACAGCACGTCAGGCTCTGGCACAGCGAGATCCTGCAGAATTCCCGGTGCCAAGAATGTTAAGTTGCTTGGAGAAGAAAGGCTCCTGAACAGTCTGGTGTAAACAAAAGGCAGGGAAGGCTGGAGCCCATCCTAAATAAAGTTCTTTATTGCTGGTGAGCTTTTCAGATTTTTGGCACCGAAAGCTCTGGCTTTGTGTTGGTAATTTAAAACCTCTGTGTCGTGGAGCCCAATTTTATTAAATTTGATTAAATATTTGCAGCTCAAATAACAGAATCCATCACAATAGAGTTCTGATTACCAGGGCTGGAGTCCAACCAGCATCATCCCTGGGGAGAGGGTGACTTAGGGGGCTGTGGGAAGGCAGTTTGAATTATCAGCTCTTCCAGGGTGCAGGTTGTAAAATTTTTAGGAAGAATGAATATTCCCCATCCCTGGAATTGTCCAAGGCCAGGTTGGATGGGGCTTGGAGCGACCTGGGCTAGTGGAAGGTGTCCCTGTCCATGGCAGGGGGTGGAATGAGATGAGCTTTAAGGTCTCTTCCAAAATTCCATGGAATTCTATGTGTCTTTACTCTTATTTAGAGCATCCTGATGTGGTCACAGGTTATGGCAGCGTTTGACTGCATTCCAAAGGCTTCCATGCACTCGACATCATTCCTGCACATCTCCCTCTGCACTGTGGAATGCAGCGTGCTCCTGGTGCCTCCTGTGCCCTCAGATCCTCCTCCCTCTGATTTGCTTTCCTGAGTTATGTTCCAGTTTCTTGGCTGTTCCAGTTTTTTTTGGTTTCAGTTTTTGTGTTCCAGTTTTTAGGTTTCAGCGGGAAGTCGTTTTCCTGGTGCAGTTACTAAATGCTTGAACCCCGGGGATGCATTTCTCTCCTTCCCTCTCCAAATTCTTTGAGCTCTTCCTTGTGTTTAACTGATCTAAGAACAGTTTGGTTGGTGCTACTGGGAAATACCTGGATTAGCACCAGGATTTTTCTTTCCCGTTTTGGGTAGTTTCCTTTATTCTAAATATGTTTTGGTGTCCGTGTTTTGTTGGGAGCTGTTGAGAGGGGAAAATTTAAGTGACCATTTCAGCCCCCAGGTCGATGTGGGGGCTTCCAAATTTAATCACTTTCACTGGGATCCCCAGGGGAAAATCTCTGGAGAATCCTTACAGAGGAGTTTTAGAGGCTCTGGAAACCTGTTTTGATAACTCCAAGTGCTGTTTGTCAACAGCTTTCTTGGAGCTGCTGAAGTGGTTTTTAACAGAGCTTTTCAGTTTTGCATTTCTAAGGAATTCTGTCCTCATTTTCTCCCTGGGAACAAGGTTGTTAAAGGCATTCCCTGCTTTCTGAAATTCGAGCAGTGGATGTATTAAAACACTCTGTTAATTAGAAAGCTGCCACCACCACCATGGAGATTTAAAGGGAATTATTTAACTTCTTAACATGCTTTTCCTCTTGGGTTTTTTGGTTGCTGTGGGTTTTTTCCTAATCCTATGGAGAGTCACAGAATCCCAGGATGGTTTGGGCTGGAAGGGACCTTAAAGGCCATCCAGTCCCACCCCCTACCATGGGCAGGGACACCTTCCACTAGCCCAGGTTGCTCCAAGCCCCGTCCAACCTGGCCTTGGACACTTCCAGGGATCCAGGGGCAGCCACAGCCTCTCTGGGCAGTTTTACTCCTATATGTGTCTCTACTGCTTAAGCAAAGAGATAATTTCTCTTTATTCAGATTTTGGGTGTTGCAAAAGGCTGGTTCCAGGCAGCATTTCTCCCTCTCCCCTGTTTTCTCTTGGAGTGACCTGGATGTTAGAAGAGATTCTGTTGACCTTTGCCTGGCTGGTGAGGCTTAGTAGGAAAACAATTAAAATATTAAAAATAATAATAATAATAACAACAGAATAACATCCCTTCTCAGTCCCCAACTGCCAAAATGAAGCTGTCCAAGGCCTGGGAGCAGGGTTTTCCTGGTGCATTGTTGGCATTTATTCCATAAATGTGGATAGGCAATGGGAACAGGGCAAAGTCTGCCCAGGACTTGGTGGGTTTTTGCCTTCAGACTTAATGTCTGATTAGTTGAGCAGCTTAAGGGCTGCAATTCTAGGAAAAAAAACAATGGGACTGACATAAATGTTGGAAGAATTGGATTACATGGGTCCTGCTGCACTCAGTGACGTAGGAGAGGGGTAACTTGGGCTGGAGCCTGTGAAAACTAGGGAAGCTTTTTGGCTTATGTTCTGGTTATTAATTTCCTGGGAGGAAAACAGAATATTCTTTGTATAAATCCTTATTATAGGCCAAATTAAGGATGTCAGGGCTCCAGAAATCCCACTGGCTTTGTGGGAGCTGACTCACACTTGGGCATGGGCTTCATTTGTTTGCTGAGGGGGGTTTTTTGATCGACCTCACAGCGTTTGTTTGAAAGATTCCACTTTAAGAGGTGGAGGAACAGGATTTTTTTTTAATTGAAGTTACATCATTTAGTCTCCAGTTCTTAAATTTGCTCCAGTTAGCAAGGCTTTGGTTGGGCATATTGGTGAATTTGGGGAGATTTCCAGTGGGATGGGTGTTCCTGAGGGAACACTGAACGTGCATTGGCTGTCAGGAATTGCTTAAATTCCTGTTTTATACTTGGGAAGAACAGCTGTTCTCAGCTTCAAAATGTTTTCCCTACAAAATACTTTAAAAACCATCTGAATAAGGTGAAATTCATGCTTTGAGTTTTGGAAGCTTCATCTTTTATTGTAAAATAGGTTTTGTGTTAATTCTGCGAGTTTGAGGCTGTTCTGTGCTGAATTTTAATTCACCTACTTTGGGCTCTCAAGCACCCAATTAAATCCATGTAGGGATTATGCTCTCCCAGGACTTGATGCCATGTTAGATTTGGGATTATATCTGAGGGATAAACAGCAAAATCAGAGCAGTTCTTTAAATAGACTTTTTGGTGTTTCAGAACTTGATCCTCCAGCTGAGGAAGCGAAGGAGGAAAATACAGGACGATTTTGCCTTAAAATAGTTTAATCTGACAAATTCCAATACATTGCAACTTATTCTGGAGGTGTTTTTTTAAGGCTGTAGTTTTCTATGTTCATTCCTTTCTTGTTATATAAAAGGATGTTTTTATTGTGGCTTTACATGGGGGACGTCTGTGACCCCGAATCTTTTGTTTCCCTGCCCATTTTTAAGGTGTTTTCTAAACCAATTCATTCTCTGTATTTGAAAGCCACCCAATTACTGGTGTGTTCCCATCCTTCAGCAAGGTATAAATGGGGTAGGAATAAAATTTGGGCTGAAATACAGTTTTTATTGACATGTTTTCCTTTGTCCTTCCAACAGCTGTAGCTTAGGTTCCATTGATTTCAAATGGGTGTATCAGCCCCCAGCTGGGACACCTTCCCACTTCATAGAATCCCAGAGTGCTTTGGGCTGGAAGGGACCTTGGAGATCACCTCATTCCAGCCTCCATCAGACCATCCTGGCAGTTGTTAACGCTCAGTCTTTGGGACAGATTAAAGCTGTGAGTGAAAGGATGCAGGGTGAGCTCTGTACCCAAAGACTACTTTTAATCTACCAAGTCAACTTCTGGTTTGGAGAGCACTTTGAGGAGGAGCTGTTTTAGAGCCTCTGCTTGTATTTGAACTGGTCCACTCTTCCAATTTGCATGCAGCCATTTAATATGCAAATGCCCTCTCAGATGATTCCCCCCTTGCTGATGCACTTCATTCTGCATTTGAAGCATCAGCTCCAGGAGCCTGACACTCTTTTTAGTGCTCCCTTTATCTCTTGCTGGCGTTTTTCTGTCCAAAACATTCATGACAAACTCTTTCTTTTCTTTTTCCCCTCCTAAAAATTCCATCAAAGAACTGTTTTGATGGCTTAACTTGAAGCATTTGATCTTGAATTCATCAGCCTTCTGATTTTTTGAGCCCTGCAATTAACATTGTCAGACTTGATCTTCGAGGTGACCCGGTGGTCAAAGCCAACTGGAGGGAAATAGAGCTGTAGCCAGGCTTAGTTAATTCAAATCAGTTTGTAAGCCCTGTTTTAATTCTTCTAAAGAAATGGAGATTATTGGCCCTGGAGTGTGTTGGTTGTTAATGGTGTGAGTGCAGGATTTGCTGGTTCAAAGGGATTGTGTTGAGAGGTCGGGGAAGGGAAAAGATGGGGCCAGTTCCCACTTCTCAGAACTGTCAGGAGCCCTGAAGCCTCACAGCAGAGATTTCACTCGAGACTAGAACAGATGAGAAGGTTTCCAGAGAAAATCATCTTGACTTGATGCTGCATCACCTTTATAAAGAGCTGAGAAGTATGTTGGCTGTTTCCAGCTGTCCTCAACCCAGAGCCTTTAGGGCTTCCCAGGAGCTCTGGAAGAGATGGAATCTTAGGATTGGGGCACAGCAGAGGTTTGGAAGAGCCTCTGGAAAGCGTGGTGTCCGCAAAGCAAGTCAGACTGTGGGCACAGGAAATGCAGCCCAGAACCTTCCGAGCGTTTGATGTGTTTTTAGATCTGGCTTAACTTTGGGGCTGTGATGATGTAACCAAGTTGCTCCCCAAATAAACAAACCTTCTCCTCCCTGGTGCTGGCTTTCCTTGGCCATACTCTGAGGCCCTTTTCCTTGAGTGGACGTTCCTTGAGGCTCTCGTGACTCCAAGCTGAGTTGCTTCAGGGAGTGGAACCAGCAGGAAACACTCCCCTGGTTTGGTCATGGGGTTCCAGTTTGGTGTTTTCTTTCCTCTTCTCCTGATGTCCCTCCCTCACCCTGGGCTTGGATGCCTCCGAGGGCGTGGAGCTGCCCATTCCAGCAGCACACCACAGATACACCTCAGCCCACGGGGGTGCTCCGCGCTGACCAACAGCAGCATCTCCGGCGTCTCACCCGTTCCTCTGTTGATTCCTTGGATAAGTTGGGTTTATTGCTGGGTTGGGAGCAAGTTGGGCAGAGTTGGGAAACTGGGAGATGGGAATGGTGCTCTCTGCACTAACCCCAGCGAGTTCTCAGCAGTCTGTAAGTCTGTGAAGACTCAGAGAAGGCTTTGCAGGACATTTATTATATTTTGAATTCAAATGCCGTTGCCTTTCCTTGTCAGTGAATTCAGATGTCAAATAGGCTGGGACCCGTTTGTTGTATTAAAAGGTGTGTGTTCCAAAAATATGTTATGGGATGACTGATTCAATTGAACCTCCTGCAAATGCTCAACTGCAACCCACTGCAGCCAGGTCAACTCAACTCAACTCAACTCAACGCAACTCAACTCAACTCAACTCAACTTCAAGTTGAGTAAAAAACTGCTGAAATAATTGTAACCAAAACACTGTTTCCTTTTTCCTTTTTCCCTTTTCCTGCCCAGCCTCTGAACCCAACCTGAAGCTGAGATCCAGGCTAAAGCAGAAGGTGGCAGAGAGGAGGAGCAGCCCCCTCCTGCGCAGGAAGGACGGGCCGGTGGTGACGGCGCTGAAGAAGCGCCCACTGGACGTCACAGGTACGGCGGGTAAGGCAACGTGGCACCCCCTGCCCAAGGATGGCCCTTCCCAAGAGGGGCTCCTGAGTCTGGCAGGGGATCTCTTGTGTGCCTTGGTGAAACCAAGCTGAGGGAACTTGGGTTGTTCAGCTGGAGGAGACTGAGGGTCTCCCCGGCCATCTCTGCTCCCTGTGGCAGGGACAGGACTCAGCTCCTGTCATTCCATGTCAGGAGAGGTTTAGGCTGGATATCAGGAAAAGGTTCTTCATCCAGTGCTTTTATAGGTTTTGACTTGTATTTGACAGTTTCCTGTTGAAAAATCATGTTCTTCTGGGAGTGGAGTCTGTAAGGAGGGCTCAGAGCAAAGGAGATGATAGCACAGATATTTCCCATAAAGTTAATTCTTAGCACCATCTAGGGATGTCTCTGGGTAAGTACCACCAAGTGACAGCTTTCCCAGACTTGTCTCACTCAAAGGCACACGATCACCATTCAAAGGAACTCAAAATTAGCTCCCTTTGGAGAACGTGGTGGGTTTGGGACACCCTGGGCACTTCTCTTGTGTCAGAGCCTCTCTGCTTGCAGAAGGAGGAGGTGATTTCAAGAGCTAAGAATCATGGAATATCCAGAAGGGATATTCCCTTGTGGGAAGGGACCCACAAGGATCATCCAATCCAACTCCTGGGATGGTCCAGTCCTTCAGCACGGAACCATCCACAACAATCCCACCCTGTCCCTGAGAGCGTTGTCCAAACACTCCTTGAGCTCTGGCAGGCTTTCAGAGCTGGAAATCAAATTTCTGTCACTCATATATTGCTGTATGGCCCATGGATTTTAGGATAGAGCAGCCTCTGCTGAGTGACCATTTCTCCCAGTAACGCCTTCAGAAATGGCAGTGGGAGCTCCCCTTTCTCACTGATATAGAGCTGATTCAAGAAGCCACTCTGGAGTTTTCATGGGAAAAGGGGATTTTTAAATGGAAAATAACTTTTTTAAGAAGTCCCACTTCAGGGAATAAAAATGATGTTTAATCCCTGAAGAATACAGGGGATTCTGGTGGGATATCTTGCACTAGCCCAGGTTGCTCCAAGCCCTGTCCAGCCTGGCCTTGGACACTTCCAGGGATCCAGGGGCAGCCACAGCTTCTCTGGGCAACCTGTGCCAGGGCCTCCCCACCCTCACAGGGAACAATTCCTTCCCAATATCCCATCTAACCCCACCTTCTGGCAGTGGGAAACCATTCCCTGTGTCCTGGCACTCCAGGCCCTTGTAATAATTAGGTTTTATTTCTCCTGGGCCATCCTGGAGCAATGAGGAACCTGCTGCAGCCTGAACCACTGCTGGGAGGTTCTCCTGCCCCTGGGCAAATCCTGTGCTTGGGGAGGAGGAAAGTTCAGAAGAAAAAGGTTTAATGTTATTAAACTTCCCAAGTAAAAGGAGAAACACTGGTGGCTGTGCCATGCACCAGGTGAAAGACCTTCTGAGGGAAGTCTGAGGTGTCCTCAGGGTGAGAGGGGAAAGAGGGGGAGAGAAGCACTTCTAGAAAAATGAAGCAGACCAAATCCAAAGCCTTCCATGCCTTTTATTATCTTTCAATCATATTTAAAGTTATTAATACACTATGAGAGAAATCCCCATGGAGAGAAGACATAAATATGGTAAGTAGGTCCTTGGACAAACCATTTGGAAGTGTTTGTTGGTATTTTAAGAGCCTTGGGAATATTTGGGGGGAAGATGGGGAGGAGGAGGAGGGTTGCTTTCCTCCACAACAGAGCTTGAGGGGTTGTTATCTGACTAAATACCGTCCCAGCGATTGTTTGGAATGTTCAGAGTTGCTTTTGGATGTGTTTTTCAGACTCTGCATGCAACAGTGCTCCTGGATCTGGTCCCAGCTCTCCAAACAACAGCTCCAACAACATCAGCACCGAGAACGGGATTGCGGGATCGGTCACGAGTATCCCGGCAGAGGTACAGAGCCCTTCCCCCTCTGCCCACTTGGGCTGCTGGCCAGGTTTGGCAGGGTTGGAGGAGTTTAGGCTGAGGAACCACACGAAAGGAAAAGCCCAGCTTGTGACTCGGAGCGGCCCTTGGGAATTACCCTCAGTCTGGGCTGACAGGCCACGTTATCTGTTCAGGAAATCTGGTTTGAAGCAGCTCACAAGCAGCTTGTGGTGACTTGTAGTGGTTTTGCAGTGAGGAGAGAGTAAAAATAAAGTGGTTTAGCAAGGTCAAATGCAAGTATTTTAGTGTTTGGGGAATTTATTCTTGTGTATGGGGTGAATTTATTGTGTGCAGTAGGTCAGTCGAAGTGTGACCAAAGCAGAGCTGGAGTAAAGGGGTTTAACCAGCTGGGGCTTTGAACACTTGGTGACTGTTACCACGTGCCAGTTTATAATCCCATAAACTTTCACCATCACTCGAGGCATCTGCTGTGGATGTCCAGGGCAGGTTGGACTGGGTCAGCTGGGCTTGGATTCAGCCCGGCAGCTCCTGTTTCCAGGGATTCTGGAGCCCAGCTTTTCCCAGGGTGTGGGCCACGGTAACTGGCTCCCACCGTTCCCTTGCAAGTAGAAAACCAGTGTGGTTGTCTGATGTTACTGGTGCATTTCTTTTTATCCAGCTTCCCATTAGCTGTTTTCCCCATGAATATAGACTCTGTCTTAACATCAGGGCTCTCAGAACAGGCTTGGGCTTGTTCTCCACAAGCATTCCCTTAGAATTGAAAAGGGCTTCTCATGGTGTAAATGTCAGCCCTTATTGCTTTCTAGTCTTGGACAGATTTTCACTTTATTTTTATTTCTAATGTAGTGTAACAGTATTTAAGATGGGGAATATGCCTTCTCCTGCAACCTCTCCCCTGCTGAATTATCCAGCACACATTCCAAGTCCATAGGAGACCTTCTAGACTTAAATAATTATTGTAAAGATTAAGGTGGTGGAAGGTGGAGGCTTCTCTTACCCCGGGAAGACGAGCATGGAGTTACTGATTTTGCTGCTCCAGGAGTTGTCAGTATTGTGTATCCTTAGCCAACTGGAAATCCCCAATTATTGCTGCTGGAAAAACTAGTGGATTTGACAGTTTTTTGTGGCATGAGCAGAGCAGGAAGCTTCCCCCAAATCCCTGCCCGTGGCAGGGGATTGGAACTGGACAGTCCCTTCCAAGCCAAACCATTCCATGAGCTCCTGCAGGGGAATGTGAGCCCGTAGCACTCTCCTTATCCATTTAATTTTTCAGCTAAATAATTGGAGCTAATCATCTGGGACCAGACCACCAATTCCTCCTCAAATGGACACAGATAATAAGGAAAACTTCCCATCATCTGCTTGTAAGGCAGTAATTTTGGAAGTTAGGCTGAAGCATGAGCAGCACAGTTGATTTGGAAAGCAATCCCTGTCCTGCCAAAGACTTTCCCTTTCCCAAAGAAAAATAACTGCACTTCGTACCAGCGTTCCATGTTGTGTGATCCCAGCTGATCCATTGGCCTGTATTGCTTCATTTGGGAAAAAAATAAGTGGGGTTTAAAATCTTTAAAATCTTCCTCAGTAGAAGTTGTACGAGCTGAGAGCCCAAGTGCTGGAGATGCCTTTAAGGTCAGTTGACCAGGATCCCTCACCATTAAATATTTACACAGATTTAGAAATATTTCAGTGTTTCTGAAAAGATAATGTTGCCAACTTGGTGTTTCATTCTCGGCTTTGTGTTTTACATTCCATGAGAAATGGATCTTGTTGCTTCTTAGTTTATGATGTCCCCATTTGAACCAGTTCAGATGTGTTGGAAGGTGGTGTCCAGGTTCATTATTTAGGTTTCAGTGCTTGCCTTCAGTGGGGAACGACTAGAGCTCTGCCTCCTTTCAAATAGACACTCTCTATTTTTAAATGCTGATTTAAAGGTTTTTCCCTCTCTGAGATTTGTTGCCTTTGCAGTTGGTACAAGACTGTAAAAAGGACTTGACTACAGCTGAAAATTGTCCCTGCAGAAATTGTTGTGTGCAATTGCAGCCTGTTTGTGCAGCCCAGAGATGGGATCTGGGTGTTTGAAGTGCTGATAATGCTGCCAAATACCATGTGCTGAGAGCATCAAGCTGCTGTGTTCTTCTCCCTGCTGTTTTCATCCCAAACCCCCGGGGGATAGTTTGAGGCACAACTCCAGAGTATTGATTGCTCAAAGAGAAAATGGATGTAGTTTTGTTTCATTTGCCATCTCAGGAAAACATTTCATTCCTCTGCTTACAATAACTGTCTTATTTTCCATGTGGAACACTAACAGTGTGTGATTTAAATTAAAGCCAAATTGCTGGTAGTGCTCAGAATCACTTGGAAGGAGAAGTGTGGGGGTACAAACAGTCACGTGGAAGGTCAAGTTTAGATCGGAGATAAAAAAGACGTTTTTTATAATGAGGGTGTTAAAAAACTGGCCCAGGTTGCCCAGAGAAGCTGCGGCTGCCCCATCCCTGGAAGTGTCCCAGGCCAGGTTGGACAGGGCTTGAAGCAACCTGGGCTAGTGGAAGGTGTCCCTGCCCATGGCAGGGGGTGGCACTGGATGATCTCTAAGGTCTTTTCCAACCCAACCCATCCTGGGATTCCATGAGAGGGGTGTAACTGAGGTACATTTTAGACTGAAATTCAGAGTCCTGTAAGTCAGGGAGACTTTGCAGAGTGAGTCATGGACTTGATCTTAGGGGTCTTTTCCAACCTAAATGATTCTGTGATTAAAAAACTGCTGTAGCAAACTGTTGGGGGGGGGAGGAAATAAAGCACATATTGAAAGAGCTGATACTGAAAACCAAACATTTGCTATTTGCTATATATTGCTCTTTGAGAGCCTCCTGGATTTATCACAGTTTGAGTGGACCCACCAACAGCTTTATCAGGACACCTCCAAACCTGAGTTTGTGCTGCCTGTGCAAGGACACACAACTGTGGGTTGGGTTGGGTTGGAAGGGACCTTAGAGATCATCTATTCCACCCCTGCCGTGGGCAGGGACACCTTCCACTGTCCCAGGTTACTCCAAGTCCCGTCCAACCTGGCCTTGGACACTTCCAGGGATGGGGCAGCCACAGCTTAGGTAAAGATTGTCCCATGGTAGAACATCAGGTTAATCAAAAATTGCCCTTTTCACAACAGCACCTGTGTTTTAACAGTAGAAATTCTATAGCAAGTCTTGTTGAAGTCTAAATTCTATTTAAGTTGGAAAATCACCTGCAGAGAATTCAGGGTGATCTCAGAACAGTTGTTTCCTAACAGGAAAATTGGGCAGTTTATTGTCATTTTCATAATGGGTTTTCTAGTGCGTATCTGGAAATTAAAGGTCTTTTTACTAAAGTGTTCTTGCTTTAAGTGCCCAGAAGATAACTCAGGAGATCTTGTGTTTCAACCTGAAAATCAGGAAATAGCTGCATAAGTGCAACCTTAAGGCTTTTGGGTGAGGTTTTGAAGCCTGATTTACGCACACCAGTTAATAACAGAAATTGTCTGTTATTTGCTAAAGAGAACAACAGCAATTTTCTTTTTAAGATAATCTGTTTTAGCTTCAAAAAGAGCTTGAGAAGGGCAAGTACCAAGGGAACAGCTGAAGCTGTGATTTTGGGATGGATATTGGGAAAAGGTTCTTCCCCCAGAGGGTGGTTGGCACTGACCAGGCTCCCCAGGGCAGTGTCCAGAGCTCAGGGAGCGTTTGGACAACGCCCTCAGGGACAGGGTGGGATTGTTGGGGTGTCTGTGCAGGGCCAGGAGGTGGATTGGTGATCCTGGAGGGTCCTTCCCAGGGTCTCTGACCAGGCCCATGTTGCTGTTTTGTTCCCAGCCCAGCCTGGCCCACAGGCTCGTGAACCGCGAGGGCTCCGTGACGCAGCTCCCGCTCTACACCTCTCCTTCCCTGCCCAACATCACGCTCGGCCTGCCTGCCACCGGCCCTTCCAGCGTAAGTGGGGTTGGGATGAGCCTCTGGAATGGCCCTGGCACGGATTCCTCCCTTAACTCCCTCCCTGCTGCCCGCGGGGCCTTTTCCTTGCAGGCGGGATCAGCCCAGCAGGACGCGGAGAGACTCGCTATCCCAACCCTGCAGCAGCGGATCTCCCTCTTCCCTGGAACTCACCTCACTCCCTACTTGAGCACTACAACGTTGGAAAGGGATGGGGGAACTGCACATAACCCTCTCCTGCAACACATGGTCTTACTGGAACAGCCAACTGCACAAACTCCCCTAGTCACAGGTGAGAGCGCTCGGACACGACGGGAAAACAGAGGGAACCTCCAGGAACCTGGGGGGTTTTTGGAAAGGCAGCCTCCAGATACTGCATCATCTCTGCAGGTGGAGCACAGAACCTTTGGGATGTGTCTGCTGATCCATTTGGATAGCAGGGACTTTTCCCAAGTCCGAGGTTTCCCACTTCATCCCGAGGGAGGGGGGAGCTGCCTTGTCATTTTGGTGAGGTGAAAATAAATGGTATTATTCCACAAAAAGTAAAAGCTGAGAACTCTCTAACTAAGAGTTCTAACCACTGCAGATTAAAGCGGGGGCGAGTTGTGCCTTAGGATCCCTGTTTTCCACGGATGGTTCCTGTTCCGTGTGGGAAGGGCACAAATTTCAGGTTAAAATGCTTCCTTCTCATCATTAATATAAATAGCAAATCCATGGCACAACCAGCTGCCTTCCAGCAGATTGTATTTGTTTGGGTATGTCCCATTTTCGGGATTTAATTGCTGTGAGTCACTCCCAGGGTCAGATTTTCAGGATGAGGTACCTGTGGGAAGGCGTGTTCCTATACATAGGCTCGATTCCAAGCAGTAATTCCTAGTAGGATGCACTCCTAGTTTACAGAGCGTGATAGTGGGACAAAGGATGCTCTGCCAACATTACTGCCTTGTTAATTTGGATTCCTTCCCTTCCATTTCCAATGGAAGTTGTTGGGAAGCGTGGATCGTGGAAGCTCGTTTTGCATCCAGATCCCAGGACTATAAGTGGGGTTGTGATAAGCTTGGGATCATGTAGATTTGGGAAGCTGCAGTATTCGCTTCCCTCCATTGGCAGTGTTTGCTTCCAAGCATGTTCCTTCTAGCCCGCGGTGTTTTCCGGGCGAGCACAACGTGTTCCAAACCCACACTGGGGAGAAAGAGTCCCCCCACAGCAGAGCAGCCAGCAGGAACACACGTTCCAGAGGCAGCAGCTGGAAGACAGAGAGCTCCCACGTGCTCCCCAAAGCCCTGAGGGGACTGGCTGCCAAACTGCACTTAGGACTTGCAAATTCCTTGGAAGCAAAGTGGGGGTTATTAGGATTCTGCTGATAGCCTTCAGCTCTGGAGGAAGACTCCTGTCAGCTGCAAAATCCAAGGCCAGGTTGGACAGGGCTTGGAGCAACCTGGTCTAGTGGAAGGTGTCCCTGCTCGTGGTGGAACAAGATGAGCTTTAAGGTCCCTCCCATCCCAAACCACTCCAGGATTCTATGAACAAGGAGTCTCCTTGGAAAGCATTCCCGAGGACCTTGGTCATTCCCTTGGAGGAAGGTGGTATTCCAGAATATCCTGTGCAAACTCTGCTGTCTAACTGGAACTTTTGGGAGGAGGAGCTGTACTCTGAGGGAAAAGGAGCACACCTTTCCCAGTGATCCGTGTATCCATACCCAGATTTGTGTGTGTACACACTGACGTTTGTAGAGACGTGCATTTATAAAATCAAATACACAGGAATCTTTTCAGAAGAGCAAAGAGTGGGAGAAACTCCTTAAATCTTCCCCCAGGAAAAGAGGCTTTTACATGAGTCAGATCCTTCCACGTAGAGCACTTCTGTGGATCGGTGGGAGAAGGTCACATCCTGGGGCAGGAATGCCAGGGTGTTTCTAATCCAGGGCACTGAGCTGGCTGCAGACTCCTGGGCAGCTTCTCTTCTAACCCAGAGCCTGAAGGAAGCAGAGGGATTCTTTCCCAAAAGTGGGAGCAGCCTTACCCCCGTTGGGGAGGCAGCAGTTCCCAAGTTCCCAGTGATGCTGTTCTATCCCAAGGTGTAACAAGCAGGAGTAAAGGTGTATGCTGAGCTCCTCCACCCTTGGGCTGGGCTCCCTGCTGGGTGGATCTTGTGTCCCAGCTGTCTTAAGAAGAATAGGAAGGTGTGTTTTCAGAGAGCTCAGCCCAAGAACAGCTAAGAAGACAAGATAATTCCTGAAGACGTGCCCTTCCCAGAGCTTGGATGGATATTTCACAGGGGGGGTCATCAATGATACCCAAATTGCCAAGGGTAGATGAGTAACTCCAGTTATCCCAAAATAACCTTTGGTTTTCCTGTAGTTACTGGCATGTATGCACAGGACATGTGGTGGAAACAATCCTAGCTATTTGTCATCTTGACCTTTCTTCCTATGGAAATAAGGAAGCCTGGCAGCTCCTATATTCCCAAAATGCTCCTTTTCCCAGCACAGACCTGGTCAGGGGGTTATCACATGGCAGTTTTCATCCCTGCTCATTTCCCTGGTGTGGACTAGAGCCTAGCCAAGGGCAGCCATGCCTTCCTTGATCATCATCCGTCACCCTTCAGCATATCCAGGGATAACTGCTAGATGCTGTGGGATGCCAGCTTGGCTTGGACCTGGGATTACTGCCTGAACCAGGCTGCGGGATTTAAACTTCAAACTCTGGAATGGTCTGTAAGATATTGCTGATTTTAGGAAATGAGGTGTTTCCATGGGGTCTCTGGGTAACCAAGCAAAGAACCCCAGTCAAGCAAAGCCTTTCTCCCCACAGCGTTAATGAATTCATTAATTACCTGCTCCCTTTCGAGGCCGCTCCGGCCGTAAGTGGTGGCGGAGGTTTAACGTGATACATCGTTACTCAACAGCCGTTTTCTCCCTTCCTTTCCTTCTTCCTTTTGTTTCTCCTCTGCTGTTTTTTCCTCCATATTATCTTCAGACTGGTATCTTTCAGGACTGCCCCTCCACGCACAGCCCCTGGTTGGAGGCGAGCGGGTCTCCCCTTCCATCCACAAGCTGCGGCAGCACCGCCCGCTGGGGCGCACCCAGTCCGCGCCCCTGCCCCAGAACGCCCAGGCCCTGCAGCAGTTGGTGATCCAGCAGCAGCACCAGCAGTTCTTGGAGAAACACAAACAGCAATTCCAGCAGCAGCAGCTGCACATCAACAAGGTAGGAAGGATGCTTTCGATGGCTTTTTCCCCCGTTTTTTCCCCGCGCTGTTTTGGGGTCTGTTTCGGGGTCTGGTGCGGTTCTGCCTCCTGCTTTCGTCCTGGGAGCTCTGGGAGGCACCACAACACCGGGAAATATTTGTGAGTGAAGTTATTCAGATTTACTGAAAGGCTGAGAGACTTAGGGGTGCTCGCCTGGAGAAGAGAAGGCTCCAGGGAGACCTGAGAGCCCCTTGAAGGGCCTAAAGGGGCTCCAGGAGAGCCAGAGAGGGACTGGGGACAAGGGATGGAGGGACAGGACAAGGGGAAATGGCTTCCAACTGCCAGAGGGCAGGGTTAGATGGGATATTGGGAAGGAATTGTTGGCTGTGAGGGTGGGGAGGCCCTGGCCCAGGTTGCCCAGAGAAGCTGTGGCTGCCCCTGGATCCCTGGAAGTGTCCAAGGCCAGGTTGGACGGGGCTTGGAGCACCCTGGGCTAGTGGAAGGTGTCCCTGCCCATGGCAGGGGGTGGGATGAGGTGCTCTTTAAGGTCCCTTCAACCCAAACCATTCCATGATTTTTCTGGAATTGCCTTCGGAAGGAGCAGAGCTGTTCCCATCTCCAGTCCATATTCTCCTTAACTCCAGCCCTGGGTAAAGCATTACAGTGTCCCATCCATTTCTTCTCCTGGAAGTGAGGACAGCGTGGCTGTGTGTCCTGCAGAGGTTGTTTGGAAGATGAATTAGATGTGATTCAGCAATTCCTTCGAGGAAAGCAAGCACTTTGTTTATCACCTGGCTTTCTGTAAATCACCTGGAGACCCTCAGGTGAACATTGCAGATCTCCTTCATCCCTGCACAGAAGTTTTGGCTTTGTAGCCAAAATCATCTCTCTGGGTATCCCAGTATTACGAGGAAGCAGAAAAAAAAGCTACTTTGAGATGATTGCATTGAGTAAATGTTTAAAAAAGGAGAGTTTTAGGCTGTAGGAGGGTAAAACTCACCTGTTACACCTGAGGGGTCTGATCACAAGCGGTGGGGATGGAGCTGTGCTGTTTTACCCGGCAGAGGGACTCTCCCAGGATTTTAGAGGCACCGGGTGTTCCTTCTGATGTAAAAGGGCTGTTGGGGACTTGAGAAATGGATCATCATCAGTGGGATATTCCATTCTGACTCCCATCCCTGGAAGTGTCCAAGGCCAGGTTGGAGCAACCTGTTTTTGCGGAAGGTGCCCCTGCCCATGGCAGGGAGTTGGAACTTGGAGTTCCTTCCCAACCCAAACCATTCTGTGATTTTTTTCTGGTTTAAGGCTTTCTAAACAGTCCTCTCAAGGAGTCCCAGTGGTGGCTTTCCTTAGGAAACCAGCAATTCCAGTAGCAGGTTTGAGGCTTGGGAGGACAAACCCGTGGGCTCGCTGTGCTTTCATTTATGGAGAGGCTTTCTCCAAATATTTTCACCGTTCCAGCCCTGTGAGAAAACACAGCTACCAAGAGCTGGATTCCAACATGAAAGAAGCCCCCAAAGCCCCCCCAGCCCGTTGTTTATGGGCTGGAGCCGGGGCAGGGCGATTACACAAGGCACTGACGTCAATCCTGTCCTTCTGGAGCGCTGCCAGCACGGACTGGGGGTGCCAGGCCTGGCCCCGGCTCAGCCCCTCACACCGGGAGCTGCTGCTGCCCCAGAAACCCCCTCACCCCCCTCCTGACGCTGTGCCAGGCCCGGGGTCATCGGATGTGGGGCGCTGGCTTGGGATTCTTTGTCCAGGAATAAGTGTCAGCTCCACGGTTTGAGGGTTTTCAAGGCTCTTCCCGAGCCTTGGCCGTGACGTAACCTCTGAGCTCATCCAGGCTTGCTCTTGGACCTCCCAGGAGCTCAGAATTCCGGCTTTGTTGGAGCTGGGATCTGTGGCATCCGTAGCAAAAGGAGGCAGAGGGGGCTGTAATTAAACTGATGGCAGAGGGGCCGTTCCCTGGGTTTGATTTATAGAAGGAATGAGTTAAAATCACTTCAGGACTAACACTGTGTGCGTGTGGCAAATTTATCCTGTGGGATAATATCCAAGTGCTGACATGGAAAAAGACTTTTCCCAGATGCAGGGATATTTTAAGACCCTCGTGTGTAGGAGAGTTAAGGGCACAGCTAAAAATAAAATAATAGGTTATTTAATTTTTAACAGAACTGATAGCATTAATTTATTTATTTACTGATTTCCCATAAATAATACAAGGCTCTTCTCAATTCCATGTGATTTTTCCAAATTTTGAGATTTTGGCCTTAGGTGTCTGCAGCAGATGAAGTTTTTAAGGAGATTTGCAGCCAAAAGAAGTCTTGCTGTTTCCCAGAAGGCAACTAAGGAAAAATATGTTGATTTGCTTAAAATTAATAAGAACAATCAACATGAGGATCTGGCTGTGAAGCCTTGACGTCCGAGGCTTTGGAGGAGTGACTTGGAATTGGAGAACTGAGGACAGGGAAGGAGGGGGCAGAGGGATGGAACAGAAGGAGGGACAAGACTCCATGGGGTGACTGGAGGGGATCCCTTCCCATGTGGGGTGTAAAGTCCCCAGTCTGCCCCTGTCAGGTGCAGCTTGGGGAGCACTTGAGTGTAGCAAATGTGGTTCATCCCACTTGGAGCTGACCTGCCCTGAGTGACTGCTCTGCTCAGAGCAAGGACCTGTCTGGAAAATGTGGGTCCCAGCCCTGCTCATCTTCTTGTCACCTGCTGGTGACGTTTGCTTTAAGGAGAGGATAAACTCACACACACAAAACCCCCATGGAACGCCCCAAAAATGGGGACAGGAGAGACTTGAGTGAGTGAAAAGAGCATTATTGAAGTTTCCAGCTGGGGTTTGAGACATTAAATGAGATTCTAGATAAGATACTGAATTACTTCTTGCTCGACTGTTTATCCCAGAGCAGCTGTGGCTGCCTCATCCCTGAAAGTATCCAAGGCCAGGTGGGGCAGGACACCCTGGGCTAGTGGAAGGTGTCCCTGCCCATGGCAGGAGGTGGAACTGGATGAGCTTTAAGGTCCTTCCCCCCCAAACCATTCTGGCATTCCATGATTCTAATTGACCTAATAATTCCCTCCCTTTTTGCATGTTTAATGTTCAAACTTAGAGGAGCACCAGGGGAGGTTTTAGGTTGGATTTCGGGGAAAATTTCTTCCCTGGAAGGTTGGTCATGCCCTGGCACAGGCTACCCAGGGCAGTGGGGACTCCTGTCCCCATCCCTGGAAGTGTTCAGAAGACATGTGGACGTGGACAGAAGCCAGCCCACCTTCCAGCACACCCCTCTCTCCACAAGGGTTTGACTCTTGGACGTATCTGACAGGTGAAATGGGCTTTTGGTGTGATCTCTGAGCTTCTCCTCCCCACAGAGAGCCCTGGATGAGCTGTATGGAAATGGGATGGTTTATCCTCAGCTTCGGAGGTGTCTGGGGTTATTTTCAGCCTCCAACCTGCATCTGTTAAGCTCTGAGGTCCCTCCCAACCCAAACCATCCTGTGAGTCTGGGAATTTTTTGTGGTGGGAACTCTCCATCAAACTTGAATGAGTAACTAGATATTTCTAACGTGTTCAGCAGCACCTTCCAAGTCTTCAGTGTCCCAAGAACTTACCACTGCAAAGAAGGAATAAATACGGATCGTTGGGCACGGTGGTACCTGGTCAAAAATTGGACTTCATGATCTTGGAGGTCTTTCCCAACCTTAACAATTCTGTGATTCTATTTATCATATCTATTAGACAAACCTAATGCCAACTGACATTCTACCAGCGAAGAAATGCAGCTTTTTTTTCCTCTCATGAAGAATTCCACAAAAAAAGGAAGAATTCTTTGCTTTTTCTTGTAGTTATGACTTGACATTGCTATGCTTTTTTAAAAATTTCTGGATTTTTTGTGTTTCCAAGGTGTAGAGAAGAAATCTCACCAACTGCATGGAGCCTTTTAAAAATGCTTGTGAGCAGAGATATCTCATTTATTCCGTAGTAAACTCGTTGCCTGCCCAAGGTTGGAGAGGCAGTGTCTTTAACAGGGTTTATGGTGGCAGTAGGTGACAGCCAGAGGCCACTGGGTATGAAAAAAGAGGAGTAACCTCATTGCAGAGGAAGCCAGAGAGCTAATTAAGGGATGGAGGAGATATTTATGGTGCATTGTGTTCACTATTTCAGATATATTTAGGAGCATTCTCAAAGCTCCCTTTATATTCAGCCCCTTGCACTTTTATTACCTTCAATTTTAGATTGGACAAAATTTCACAAATGGAGGATTTTCAGGGAGTTTTACCAGGCCTGGGATGCAGATACTCATGTGTTCTATGGAATATGTTCATGACAAAGTGTTTTCTCTACAGAATTGTCCTTTAAAACAGGGTTGCAGCAGCTCGAAGCGGTGGCAGAGCAAGAGATTCCCTTTGCATTTGGAGAGCAAAGGGAATGTTTGAAGTGTCCTTGGCATGGGCCACTTGATCTTTCAACCTTCATCGTGGTTTTCATTTAATTCTTCCATTTTCAAGGAGTAGGAATAATTTAAAACTTCTCAGGGATGACACTGCCTCTTGTTCCCATTAGATGTGACAGTGACATTGTAAGTTCTTTTCCCAGCAATTACCTCCTGCAGTTCAGAAGTTCAAAAGGTATTAAGTTCAAAGCTTGAGATCTTCGATCCAAGCAGAAAAAAAAACCACCAAGCAGCAGATGGTTTATGATGATTTAATTAACTTTAAAAGGGGTTATGTTCATTAAGCCTAAGAGAGCTTAAAGGACATGCATGGAAGAACCTTTAGCTTAACATGGTTTATTCATTGTGTATTATAAGGAATGAAACTGGGAGGGCAGGGGGGGTCCTCCCAAAAATCCTGAAGAGGTTTGGATCACTGAGTCCATCATTGAGTACAATATCCCTGCTCCAGCAGTTCCCAAGATCACATTTGGTTGCCTTTTGAGTGTCTCCAAGGATGGAGCCTCCAGAACCTCTATGAATAACCAGTTCAAGTGTTTGACCACCCTCACAGGAAAAAAAACACGTTTTCTTGTGTTCAGAAAGAATTCCATGGGTTTGGTTTTGTGCCCAAGGCCTCTTGTCCCATCACCTGGGAGCACAACCCATCAGGGTCCCTTGGACTTAAGTATATCCAGGTTTTTTTAAGTGTTGCCTGACCCTGGTGGTTCCTCCACCAAGGGTAAGTCTTCCTTGCTCCAGACTTTCCCTCTGGTCTCAGGGTCCTGGGATTCCTGGTAAGAGGTATTAAGTGCCATGGCCCTTTTCCATGTCATGTGAATTTCCCTGGTCTTCCTTTTTTCTTTCCTGATGCCCTTCATGTCCTTTGCCAGATGCAGCTCCAGGTTGGCTTTGGCTTTCTTAACCCCAAGGGCTGGAGTTCTCACTACTTGGGATGGATCTTGATCTTGTAGAATCCTTGAATCTTCCATCTCTCCCGGACCCCTCTGATCCCCAGAGCTGTATCTGCTTCCAAGCAGATCCCTGAAGAGGGCAAAGTCTGCTCTCCTGAAATCCAGGCTTGAGGTCCTGCCTTTTGCTCTGTTTTCTCCTCTCCAGATTTTCAGCTCCACCATCCACATGCTCCATCGACACACCTTTGGAAAACCACTCTTCCCCTGCCCTGGGCAGCCTGTTCCAGTGCTCGAGCAACCTTTCCATGGAGAAATTTTCCCCATATCCAGTCTAAACGTGCCCTGGCACAGCTTGAGGCCATTTCCTCTTGTGCTGTCATTTGTTAGGTGGGAGAAGGGCCCAATCCCCCCCGGCTCCACCCTCCCGTCTGCGAGTTGTCAGGACTCATCTTGGTTTGTCCACTTCATTTGGCATTTAAGCTCTTGACTAACTCCAGATCCACACCAAGACACACAACTCTACGCATTCCTGCCCCTCTTCCTTGCTTGACTTATGTGGCAGAGCCTTTCTTCCTAAATTTGGGGGGGAAAAAGGGCTTAATTTCAGGTTTGAGCCGCTGCTCTTCGAAGAGCGAGTAGCTCCTCCTGCATGTGCTCAATAACCAGGTTTTGATTTAGCTTTATTAGATTTAAAATCAATATTACCTTCCATCCCAGTGACCTAATCCTCATTAAACCTTGCCCTGACAGCTTTCAAAGTGCAGCACTTTCTTTATAAGCCTGTGAAACAGGGGCAGCCTGAGAGAGAGGAAATGGATCGGTTTTCCTATGCCAGAGTTAAAAACAGGTCACATTTTGGTTTTTTTTTTATTCCAAATAAAACTTATAAGCAGTCTGAGGTGGAGAACTGTGAATTTTATCTTGCCAATGAACTTATAAAGAGTCTGAGTGAATTATAGTGAAAATTAAATTGTTCCTTTCGGTTTAGGAGCTGCTTCTGGAGAAGTTTACTGTGTCTAGTTAGGAAGGTCTGGTTAGAACCAGAGGTTCACTGTAAGCTGGGTGTCCTGAGCTTCCTCTTAACCAGCTCCGTGACAGTGCAAGTTCTCAAGGAATCTTTATTCCAGCCTTACAGATAAAATTCAGGGAGTGATTCGAGGTGATGTTGAGCAAACAAGCAGCAAAAACCCTCTTAGAGGGGTTTGTGTCTCTTGTATTCTTTCAGGATTTAATTGCCAAACATCTTGATGGTTGTTATGAGTGGATGTGAATGGAGTGGGCACAAGGGCTCTTATTTCTTCAGAGGGAAAACTAAGTGGAAAATAAGGGGGGTGTCATTACCTGGGACACGGAATTTCAGAGCTCTTAATGCCAAGGTTGCCCTGACCTTTCCCTGGAGCGCTCGTTTCGTAAGACAAAGGCCATAATTCACAATTGCTCTTTTCAGGAGGCTGGAGAACAGAATGAACTTTACCTGAGACGAGTTAAGGGTTTATTTCTTGGTTCGTGTGCTTTCAGATTATATCCAAACCCAACGAGCCAGCCCGGCAGCACGAGAGCCACCCCGAGGAGACGGAGGAGGAGCTGCGGGAACACCAGGCCCTCCTGGAGGAGCCCTACGGCGACCGGGCCGCGGGCCAGAAGGAGGCCCCGGGACTGGCCAACGTGGTGCAGGTGAAGCAGGAACCCATCGAGAGCGATGAGGAGGAGGCAGAGCCTCAGCAGGAGCTGGAGCCCGGGCAGAGACAGGCGGAGCAGGAGCTGCTCTTCCGTCAGGTGAGCGCCCAAAACACCGCCCTGGCACTTGGGCCCTTGCAGGACATCGGTTGGGTCTTGGTGGTCACCTTGTGCTGCTCTAAGGGGAACCAGCTCGTGGCTGTGTATAGAATCCTGAGGTAAAATCAGGTGATTCCTTCCCTGGAATCAGCTCACAAGTCTCCCAGGGAGGAGAATCTGGATCATATGGAACACACAGTGTGTTTACAGCCACTGAGTCTCTTCTGGGGTTGTTTCTTTGAGAAGACAAAGTGTATCTTAGCATTTCTGAACTGCTTTCAGTAGAAATGGAATCCCGCTAGCAGAGGATTTTATTTTGGTTTTATGTTGTAAAGCAAACTAGAGAAGGCCTGGGTAAAAGAGCAGGGGATGATGTGCAATGGAGGGTGTTCCTTCTGCAGAATTAGAGATCCTGGAGCCTCCAGCCAGGCTCCCTTTTGAGGGCAAGCACTGGAGGCCTGTGGATTGCAGGTGATAAATCTGATCACAAGGTGCAAGCTGATCTATGTCCCACAAGAATGTTACTGGAATGTTGCTCAGGGACTACATTTACCCAGGAAAGCTGTGGCTGCCCCTGGATTCCTGGAAGTGTCCAAGGCCAGGTTGGACGGGGCTTGGAGCAACCTGGGCTAGTGGAAGGTGTCCCTGCCCATGGCAGGGGGTGGCACTGGATGAACTTTAAGGTCCCTTCCAGCCCAAACCATTCTGGGATTCTGTAATTCTGTGTTGCTAATGATGGACCACAGTGATCCCATTCCTCTGAAAGGGCAGCCTTAATCCTGAATCCATGAGTGCACCTGAGGAGTCTTTAAAATAGTCTTTGCCTCAAAGAGAGAGGGAATAAACAGAAGAAAGGGGTGTGAGTGTGGAAGGCTGGAACAGCTCCCTTCTGCCCAGGAGCCTGTCCAGCTGATGGTGTGACTGTGCAGAGAACCAGCTTGGTTGGAAGCTCCCACTCCAGCCTGGGATCTGGTTGAGCTGGATTCAGTCCATGATCTGGAGCACTGCACTGTTAAACAGCCCAATGCAGCGGGGTGGGAGCACAGGGGGTGGAAGATAAGGCCAGTTCTGGGGGAGGAAGGAGCTGCCTGTGCTGGTGCCCTCTCAGGTGCTCCAGGCCCAGGGCTGGGGTTCCACGTGCTGTTCTTGCCTGGCTTGGCTCTAGAAACATCCACATCTTCATTTGCTGCGTGCAAGGGAAAGGAATCCAAGCCTCCAAACCTTAAAAACCCTAAAAGACCCTTTTAGGAAGGCACTTTCAGCAACTCCCTGCTTCTCTTCCCCACAGCAAGCCCTTCTCCTGGAGCAGCAGCGGATCCACCAGCTGAGGAACTACCAGGCGTCGCTGGAGGCGGCCGGAATGCCCGTGTCCTTTGGGGGACACCGGCCCCTGTCCCGGGCACAGTCCTCTCCAGCCTCAGCCACCTTCCCAATGTCCGTGCAGGAGCCCCCCACTAAGCCAAGGTTCACAACAGGTGAGGCTTTGGGGGGCTACTTGGGCTGGGGGGACTGGTTTGCCTTAGGCTGGGCTTTGTTTACAAGGGCGTGGAATGGCAGGACAAGAGGGAATGTCTTTACACCGAGAGGAGGGTTAAATGGGATGTTAGGAAGGAATTGTTCCCTGTGAGGCCCTGGCACAGGTTGCCCAGAGAAGCTGCAGATGCCCCATCCCTGGAAGTGTCCAAGGCCAGGTTGGAGCAACCTGGGCTAGTGGAAGGTGTCCCTGCCCACGGCAGGGGGGGTGGAACTGGATAATCTTAAAGGTCCCTTCCAACCCACTCTGGAATTTTATGATCCAAGATTAAAACCAGAATAATTCTCCCTGAATCCTGACAACCAACTTTCCCCCCCGCCCCAGATCCTTCCTGTCTCTTCAGTGCCCTTAGCAACAACTGAAAGGGAATTTTCTGTGCAACTCTCCAAGCCCTGTGTTGGGTGATGAGGGATATTTTGGAGTCCGCCTTCTTCCCCAAATGTCAGGCTGTATTTTGTGAATGAACAATTTGCAACGTGCCGAGCGCCTTGGGAAAAGGGAAGAAGGGGAATAGATCCCAGAACATCCAAATGGGAGTGACTCGTGATTTTGTTTGCCTTTCCCTCATGCCTTTATTCCGTTTTTAACCCACACTTCTTGCATCACTCGGTGCTCTGAGTCGGGTTTATTTTCAGGCCCTGGTGGTGTAGTAATAGATAATGTTCAGGATGACTTTTCCTCAGCTGCAAGGTGGGAAGTGTGTGCTGTCAGCCCTGTGAAAACCCAAGAAATGACTCATTTTGACAAATCAGCCCTTTAATATCTAATTTGTTGTTAATGCTGAACCTTTGAATTGCAGCAAAACTGCATTTCCAGTTCTGGCCAGATGAAGAGATTTTGGCTTCTGCCAGGGATGCAACGAGTGGTCCCCTGGCTCAGGGTCAGAGCATATGAAACTTGAGCTTCTAACATGCTTAACCCCAAACCTTGGAGCTTTAAAAATGAGGAAGCCTGGCCCTGCTTGAAGAGATTATTCACCCCTTCCCTCCTCCTCCCCTCGTAGTGAAGTTGCCTTGTCAGTCACCTACAAGACTCTGAACATACAACAACATTTCCTACCCCAGGCTGTGCATTTGGCTCAGATTTGCGCCTCTAAATTTCATTTCAAATCACAGGGAACAGGAAGAATGGAAATGTGAGGACGGGGCTGCTTGGAAAAGGTGCTGTTCCAGTGTTAGGATTTCTTTTCCTTGGAGGCAGGGTTTAAAACAATTAAAAAAAGCTGGAATATCACATTGCTTTTATTTAGCACTGCACAGTGTGATGATATGAAGGATGCTTAATGTGGTTCACCTGTAAAATACCCTTTTCATGGCATTTATCCAGGTTAAAACTCCAAGGGCTTAATTTTTCCCATGCTTTCCATCTCTGCATTTATGGAGGAGGGAAAACACAATAAATCACTGTCCAAGGGGGAAGTGTTGGGCATTCCCTGGCACTAATAAAGGTGCAAAGAAAAAAGGTGAGACCTCTGTACCAGTCCTATAACTTTGGTCCCTCATAAAAGGTGAAGGACTGGTTTAATTACCCATCACTGCTTAAGGTTGGACTCGATGAGGTCTCCAACCTAGCTGATTCTGTGATTCTGTAACAGAGGCAGGAAGAAAGAGCCCAACTCTAGGGGTGTGGAAGGAGGGAGAAGGAAAGGAAAGGAATCTCAGCTGCTGAGCATGTGTGTGAGCGAAAAAGTGCCTCATGTTTTCCTGGAGTTGTGCACGGTGTGTCGGAGATCGTGGGTTTGGAGGTGGCTGCTAAAGCTTAATCACTGGGATTGAGCCACTCTTTGAAAGGCAGGAAATTAAAGTCTTGGGTATTTTTCAAAGTGCTCAAGCTCATCAGGCTGCTTTTTCCCTAGGAAAATCCATCTGGTTGATAAGTGGCTGCTTTGGAGACTGATCCTAACGGGCTTATGCGCTTTGGATTGCAGAGGAATGAGGGCTGGCATTGGTGTGATCATGTGGGGAGAGGGCTGGAAGAACCAAACCTCATTAATGGCCCTAAGTAAGCCAACCAGGATCACTCTGCACACCACTGTGGCTCTTAAGAGATCAATTACTGTCCAACGGGCAAAGGAATTGTTCATCCCCTTCATGTTTGGGATATTATATAGAAATAATACAGTAACCTGAGGTTTTGTCTGAACAGAGTCACTCCAGACAGCTGGAAATTCGGGGGGGTTGGGATATTTTATTTTCCTGTCTCTCTCAGTGACAACACCTGAGACTTCAAAGGTACAGGGGAAAGAACCCGTAATACAGCTCTCAAACATGATGTCCATTACTCCACATCAAAGTGAAAGCTGTGCCCTTCCTGACTCCTCTGAGCAATCAGTTTGATGTCCCAGAGCATGACATTTAATTTTCCTTCCTCCCAGAAAGCCAGTCCTTGAACTTGCCCTCTCCAGATCAAGCAGCCCCGTGACTTTAATGAATCCTTGTGCCTGCCCTGTTCTACACACTTGAATAAGGATCCTCAGGTTGGGCCATTAATTTGCATAGCTCCAATTATCCAGTCTCTGATCTCCTGTAAAAATGGGTCCACAAATTATTCTGATGTTCTGCATTAAAGGGTTTTTCCTTTCTAATGGAGGCATTTATTCTCTCCTGTGCAGAGCAATATAATTATCTGAACCTCAAATCATATGTTTGTTCTGCCAAGAAAAACCAGTTGGTTTTGCTTTAGTGCTGACCTTTAAAAATGATTGTTCTTGTGTCTGAACAGAGCCTTGCTTCCAGCACCACTTAATTTAACTTGTAACGGCCAATGGAGTTTTGTGTTTTAAGCTTAAATTGCCAAGATTCCCTTTGTGTGTCTCTGTGTGTGTGTGTGTGTTCAGCTGAGTGTCCCCAACCACAGGAAGGAACTGGGAACAGCTCCTGTCTTTCCAGTGGGTTGGTTTCTAGGAAAGAGGAATGATGAGTGACGTGTGATTAGAGCATGGAAGAGCTTCCCTGAGACACTGCTGTTGTCCTGGCACCCTTGGGAAAGGAGAAACTGTTGATCAGCCAGGTTCTGTAAAGGCCAGGTTTGTGGTGGGATAGAATCCCAGAATGGTTGGGGTTGGGAGGGACCTCAAAGCCCATCCCATCTCACCCCCTGCCATGGGCAGGGACACCTTCCACCAGCCCAGGTTGCTCCAAGCCCCATCCAACCTGGCCTTGGACACTTCCAGGGATCCAGGGGCAGCCACAGCTTCTCTGGGCAACCTGTGCCAGGGCCTTGCCACCCTCCTAGGGAAGAATTCCTTCCCAATATCCCATCTAAAAATCTCTTTTAGTTTAAGACCTTGCACTGGTTTAAATAAACTCAGACTGGGGTGGAAGCTTCTCCTCAGGTGAATTCAGGACTTGCCTTGGCCCAGCAGCTGGCTGTGATGTTTGATGCTGTGGATCAAACATGGCAGACCTCAAAAGACCTTTGCAGCAAGCCCTTCTTTCTTAAGTGACCTTTGGCTGACCCAGAGCCAGCCAACTCCCCAGGGCTCTGTTCTTTCCCTGGAACTGAACATGGGTTGGGTTTTGTGGGCTGGTTTTTCCCTTTGCCCTCCCTCACCTCCAGCAAAACGAGGAGCTGCCAGGCCCCTGCCCTGAGGCTGGATACCTGAGAGTGTCAGGCTTTGCTCAGGGGGAGAAGCCGCATTTTTGCAGTGGCAGAACATGCCCACACTCAGTCAGGAGGTGGGATTGCAGCTGGAGCCAAGCCTGGCAATGCGCAGGAGCGTTGGGAACGTGCAGGAGCAGGGCCCTCAGTTCCGGGCTGCGTGTCCGGGGCTGTTCCCGGCGTCGGGTTCCTCACAAACCCCTTTTAACTCCCTGCGCTTGCCAGTTGTGCTGTTTCTCCAGACTTGAACTGGGAATGGGGAAGCCTGTGTAGGTGTGCTCATCTGGGATTTCTGAGGAGGGATACCAGCCAAAGCACATCCTGGAACACCTGCATCCTACCTTTAGAGGCTTTGGATTCTCAAGACTTGATTTCACAGAAATCATAGAAAACCTTGGGTGGGAAGGGACCTGAAAGCCCATCTGGTTTTTACTCCCTGCCATGGGCAGGGACACCTTCCACTAGCCCAGGTTGCTTCAGCCTGACCTGGAACACTTCCAGGGATCGAAGGACAGCCACAGCTTCTCTGGAAAAATCCATTCCAGTGCCTCACTACCCTCACAGGGAAGGTTCCTCCCCACTATCCCATCTCACCCTGTCCTCTGGCAGTGGGAAGCCATTCCCCCTTGTCCTGTCCCTCCGTTCCTTTTCCCAGCTCTCCTGGAGCCCCTTTAGGCCCTGGAAGGGGCTCTCAGCTCTCCCTGGATCCTTCTCTTCTCCAGGTGAACCCCCCCAGCTCTCCCAGCCTGGCTCCAGAGCAGAGGGGCTCCAGCCCTCGGATCAACTTCATACTGTACTTTCAGACAGATATTTCTTCCAAGAAACCTTATTCTTTGAGGAAAAAAACCCAAACCAACCCCTTTTATTCTGTTTTCTGGAGCTTCTGGCTGAAGGGAAGGGTAGATTTGAACGTTTGACTGTGTGTCTTTTGCTTGAGCAAAAAAATTACAGGTCATTTGTCCCTGGGACGTGGCTGGGGAGGACCTGCTGTTTTCCTCCAGCAGAACATTGGCTTTGGAATCTCAGCTCTCCTTCCAAAAACGGACCCAGGCAACTGTGGAGCATGAATCAAAGTTGTCATGCCATAAATCCTTGGGAACTCCCGCACTGAGATGAAACAACACTGCTAAATCCTTCATCTCGTGCTGAATAACGATGCCCAAGTGGGTGCTAATGGCCTTAATTAGCATGTTGTCAAATAACGGTGATGCAGCGACTTCAGCACGAACTGTTTTATGAAACACGGTCCTGCCAACGACTTATTCCTTCTGCTTTTCAATCCCAAGCCCTGGAGTCATTTTAGCAGCAAGTAGGAGAGTCCCTCCTCTCCTCAAGTGCGGTTCCTTCACTGGCATGGAAGTGATGCTTTGGGGTGTCACCTCCTGCTGCCACTGTCACACCCTCAGGTGTTGGTGCTGGTTTCTTTGCCACAGCCATTGAGGGTTTCCAGAGGAAGGCACGGTTGCAGGTTTGGTGCTGTCTCAAAGCAGCACCTTGGATTTTCCCTTCTTGGAGCTCCGTGGCTTGGAGCCCAACGCCCAGTTTCGCTCTAGAGCTGTTGCGTTGAATAGAAAGTACAAACCGTGCTTCTTTCCCCCCATAAATCTGGCAAATTTGGGTGGTTTTTTTTTTTACTGAGAGCAATTTTGGATCCTCTGTCCCAGGCCTCGTGTATGACACCTTGATGCTGAAGCACCAGTGTACCTGTGGAAACACCAACAGCCACCCGGAGCACGCGGGGAGGATCCAGAGCATCTGGTCCAGGCTCCAGGAGACGGGGCTGCGGGGCAAGTGTGAGGTAGGAAAAACACAGCAAAGGGGGGTGGTTGTTGTTCTTGTTATTGTCATTATATTGTATTAGTATTAGTATTAGCATTGTTATTAAGATCAATTCATAGTTGTTAGTTAGAAATACCAGTGATGATAAATAGGGCTCTACATGTGTGTTCATCAGTTCAAGCTCTGAGGGACTGGATGTCCTGGGATAAACAGCTGTGGCAGCCCCTGCACAGGAACATTCCCGAGCCGTCAGCTCAGCCTTCCACGTGGTGGCAGCATTGCCATTGCCTGCATTCCCTAATCCCAGCACTGCCATTGCCTACGTTCCCTAACCCCTGGCATTGCCATTGCCTGCATTCCCTAATCCCAGCACTGCCATTGCCTACATTCCCTAACCCCTGGCATTGCCATTGCCTGCATTCCCTAATCCCAGCACTGCCATTGCCTACGTTCCCTAACCCCTGGCATTGCCATTGCCTGCATTCCCTAATCCCAGCACTACCATTGCCTACATTCCCTAACCCCTGGCATTGCCATTGCCTGCATTCCCTAATCCCAGCACTGCCATTGCCTACGTTCCCTAACCCCTGGCATTGCCATTGCCTGCATTCCCTAATCCCAGCACTACCATTGCCTACGTTCCCTAACCCCTGGCATTGCCATTGCCTGCATTCCCTAATCCCAGCACTGCCATTGCCTACATTCCCTAACCGCTGGCACTGCCATTGCCTACATTCCCTAACCCCTGGCATTGCCATTGCCTGCATTCCCTACTCCCAGCATTGCCATTGCCTGCATTCCCTACTCCCAGCATTGCCATTGCCTGCATTCCCTACTCCCAGCACTGCCATTGCCTGCATTCCCTAATCCCAGCACTGCCATTCCCTACGTTCCCTAACCCCCGGCATTGCCATTGCCTACGTTCCCTAACCCCTGGCACTACCATTGCCTGCATTCCCTACTCCCAGCATTGCCATTGCCTACATTCCCTAACCCCTGGCACTGCCGTTGCCTACATTCCCTAACCCCCGGCACTGCCATTCCCTACATTCCCTAACCCCTGGCACTGCCATTGCCTACATTCCCTAACCCTGGCATTGCCATTCTCTACATTCCCTAACCCCTGGCACTGCCATTGCCTACATTCCCTAACCCCTGGCACTGCCATTGCCTACATTCCCTAACCCTGGCATTGCCATTCTCTACATTCCCTAACCCCTGGCACTGCCATTGCCTCCATTCCCTAACCCCTGGCACTGCCATTGCCTCCATTCCCTAACCCCCAGCATCCCTCCCAAGCTGCTTCTGTCCGTGGATGCCCATTTCACTCAATTCTGGGATTATTTGGGAACAAAAAACCTACAAAGCCAAGTGCCCGGTGCTGTCCTGCTCCAGGAGCTCGTTGTGCAGTGCTGGTCACTTAAATGGGTGTTAAATATTCCCTGATGTACAAATTCCTCACTGTACAATCTGTGATTGTCCTTCATTTCCTGTTAATTTCCTTTAGGAAGATTCTTTCCCCTGATTTTCCTGCTTAATTCGGTACTTTTGGTTGCTTTTGGAGCTGCTGTTGATGTTCACTCTGCTTTCCAGCTGTGTTTCCCTTCTGACCGTTGCTGATGTTCTGAAAAGCCTCATCCTTTCAGACTCTTCTGAAAGTTCAGACTCTTCCTTTTCCCAAAGCTGATAAATACCTGATAATGAGGTTTCTACCTTAATTCCCTGCTGGTTTTCTCCAGGGTCTGCCCTGACATTTCAGGTTGCATTCCTTGTCTCTCTGGTTACCTTTGCTTTATCCCCACCATCTCCTGCCCACGCCTGTCTGAAAGTTTCCTTCTTTATCTTGACTTTTCTCTTGGGCTTGATGGGCACAGCCTTTCCCTGTTTCTCCAACTCCTTCCTACATCCAGACTTCCCTCAAATAAAAAAAACAGGCCAGGTTGGACATGGTTTGGAGCAACCTGGTCTAGTGGAAGGTGTCCCTGCCTGGGTGGTGGAACAAGGTCCCTTCCAACGTCAGCCACTCTGGGATTCCATGATTTTGTAGTTTAATCCATTTCTTATGCCTCATATTTGTAAAAGGACAGTTGGAGCTTTGATATTTCCTCATCCTGACATTTCCCCTTCCTTCCTGAACTGCCCTTTGCTGTGGTCAGGGGGGTAGTTTGATGCTGTTGGTTGCCAGGAGTTGCTCAACACAGATTAAAAACACAGGAGCCTGCATGGTAACTAATGATTTACACACTGTGGAGGATCAAACGAGACTCCACTGGATTCCTGTCCTCTTCCAGGAGTTTTACAGCTCATTCCCCACACAACTAAACCCCCACTCTGCTTTCTCCTCCAGCAGTTCTGGGTGCCTGTCCCCTGGAATGTCCTCGTGGTGTTTCTGTCCCACACCCGCCCCAAGCCGAAGGTCTCACAGATAAATATTTATGTCAGTCACGCAAACAAATGTTGGCTTTGAAATTCCAGATGCACAGACTAAGGGAAAACCTGTTCCCATCAGGCAGCTGAGAGGCTCCCAAACACCCTGCCAAGGGCTGAGATCCTGCCACTGTTTCTGGACTCGATGACCCTTGTGGGCCCCTTCCAACTCAGGATGTTCTGTGATCTCTCTCAGAGTCAATGGAAGTGATCCAGAAGGGGCACAAATCAGAAATATCCCGGAATCCCAGAGTGGTTTGGCTTGGAAGGGACCTTAAAGCTCATCTCGTTCTGGGTTTCACCTGAGGGATGAGTAGATTTGCTACGGTGCCTCCAGCCCAGCCTGCACCCTCCTGTGAGAAAGCAGCTTGCAACAGATTGAACCTGCAGGGATTTCCAGCATGAGTTTTAGAGCAGAAAGGTTGGAACTGACCCTTCATTGCTCGACGGTTCACTTTGGAAATCGTGTCTGGCAGAAACTTTTAGTTAATAATCGTGGTGGAGATGCTGGAGAGTGGTTTGGAGGGACATTTTCACTAGAGAATCATTTTCTAGTGTCTTATAAATCCTGAATATTCATTAGTCAAGCAATGCCTTTGTTATTTAGCAAATGCACATTTGAAAACAGAAATAAATGTAAAAATGACTTTGTATGTCCAGCTGGTGTTTTGAGTAAGAGATTAAACCAAAATCGGAATTGTTCTGGGTAAGAACCCAGAAATGTGGGTGTTTTGCTCTCTGTCTTTATGATTTGCTAAGGAAAAAGAAAAGCACTTTAGTGAGAGTGATTTCCTCACCCTTTCCTTTGCTCTTGCAGTGCATCCGTGGAAGGAAGGCGACTCTGGAAGAGCTGCAGACGGTTCACTCGGAAGCCCACACGCTGCTCTACGGCACAAACCCTCTGAACAGGCAGAAGCTGGACAGCAAGAAGCTTCTAGGTATCATTCCCTGGGGGAAAATCCCCCTTCCTGACCCCTGGCACTCACACTGCAATCCTCATCCTTGATTTAGCAACATGAAGGGTGGGATGTTGGGGTTCCCTCCATCCTTAGCCCTGTGCAGTTCCCAAGAGGATTGTTCCCACCTCCATGTACAGGGTACACCTCCCTCTTTTCAGGTAATCCCTAAAGCCTAAATAGCTAAAACTTCCTTTTTTGACGTCTTCAGAACTTGAAAGGAGGTTTCCCTGAGAAGGGAAGATAATTCATACAGTTTATTTTACCCTGTGTGTTAGGAAGTTATCCATGGCTAGGGAGGAACTGGAATACCGTCCTAAGGATGTGGATCTGCAGCCCCAACCAGCTGCACAGGCATCAACAATAGCTGTGAGGTTTGTGTGGATAATCTGCAAGAGAGATGCAGGGACCTCTTAGTCTTAGATTTGTTTAATTTGGACTAAGATTGTTTATCCCTTTCTCTGGAGTCTGGATCTTCCTGAAGCAGAGCCTCAGCTGGTGGAAAATATAGATTTCTTTTCCTCAGCAAAAATCCTAAGGGATGGATGTTGAGATACCAAGCCCCCCAAGCACCAAACCACGTGTATTTTAGCACCTCAGCTCCCTGTAGACACCATCCCCTCCCTTTACTTGGGGCCTGTCTGCAGCCCCTGTTTGCAGGTGAGAGACTGGAGGGGCATTTTGGGAACTTCTCACATGGGGATCAGCAAAAAAAAAAGACATTTCTGGGACCTTGACATTGAGAAAGTTTATTTTGGGATTAGCCTGGCTTTGGATGATATGAAAAGAGGATTAACTCCATGATCTGCATGATGTCACAGCAAAGGAGCTGGAAAGATTTTACCATGTGCTCAGTGTGTCCATGAGATCCCCAAAGAGGGAAACCATTAACCAGTTGATTAAACAGGCAATTAGCACTGTCTTTATAGCTCACTTCCCGCCTCTTTAAACTCAGAGAACCCAAAAGTAGACCCCTCCAGCTGAAGGATGGCTCAGTTAGTGTGTAACCTTTGAAGAATTTCCAGTGTCATATCCTTGGGAGTGGGAAACCATCAGTCCACAGGAACGGTGTGTAAGTCTGCCTTGGTAGGTCCAGGAAGATCCTCTTGAGATACTTTTTCAGTCTGTGACCCTTTTCACAGTGTGGATCAGTGGTTCCACAGTTTATTTGGATAGTGTTGGATCTGGGGACACCCCCACTCGCTGAATCATTCCTTAGAGAACCCGAGAGAGGAGCAACTCTTGCTCTGCCTGGGAGTCCTCCTGTAGTTCTGCTCTGTGTCCCCCTTGGCTTTAACCCCTCATTTTAAAATGTCAGTGGAGATTAAATTTATTCCTGTAGCGAAGGGAAATCATTTGAACACCTGAGGGCATTCCAGAACAAAATGTTGTCTCTTTGGGTGCAAAGAAGACCAAGTTGTCAGAGACCTGAGGAAGATCCCCAAGGATCTCCAGTAGGAAGGACTGTCCAGTAGCTCTTAGCTGAGCTTAAACCTGGTTTCCTAAACCCACTTGGCACCATTTTAGCCTTGAGCTGCTGGCAGTGGGACTGGCTGCCAGCTTGCATGACCATCTTCCTTCTTTCCTTGTTGGATTCTGCAGGGATAACAGGGAACCTGGGAGGTGAACACTCTGTAACAGCCCCTCCCTCAGCCATCCTCTCCTGCTGAGAGTTTAAAAGGCTTTTAAGTGTCCAAACCAGCTCTGTGGGGGTTCTTTTAAACCTGTTGGAAGGTGGGTTAGGGCAGGTTTGAAGGCTGAGAGCGAAGCTCTGTGTGAGGCTTCAGTGTGCAAATGGAGTCTGTTAGATCTCAGTGTCTTGGCACGTGTGGGATGACTCTGTAAACTCTGTGCCTTTGATATGTCTGGGAGGAAGAAAAAAAGCACCAGAAACCTCAACCTAAAAGGGAGGAGCTTGGGAAGCTGGGGGATGGAAACACAGGATGGTTCTTGTTAAGCTGTAAATGGTAAGGGGGAAGTGCCTTCATGGAATCAGAGTTTCCTGGGACGGTTTGGGTTGGAGGGACCTTAAAGAGCATCTTATTCCACTCCCTACCATGGGCAGGGACACCTTCCACTAGCCCAGGTTGCTCCAAGCCTGTTCAACCTGGCCTTGGACACTCCCAGCTTCTCTGGGCAATCTGTACCAGGGCCTCACCACCCTCCCAGGGAAGGATTTAATCCTAATATCCCACCTAACCTATTCCCTTCCATTTTCCCCTCACAGTCAAGGATACAAAATACATCTCTCCTTTGACAGTGGAGGGACTTGGAACCTGTTGGACAAGTTGAAACTTAGGCAAATAAAGCTGGTTTTAATTTGTGGGGAGCAATCAGAAAGTGTTGTCAAGAAGATAAATATCAAAATAATGGGTGGATTAGCAGTGAAAGATGTGACAGAAGGTCTGAGGCAGGATGATCTAAGAACTTCCACGTGGATCTAATCAAAGAGTGCATCTCCCTTTGAGCTCAGCTTAATCCAGATGCATTAACTCCTCTTTCAGTCAGACTGGTTTGGCTTGGAAGGGACCTTAAAGCTCATCCCATTCCACCCCCTGCCATGGGCAGGGACACCTCCCACTAGCCCAGGTTGCTCCAAGTCCTGTCAGGAGGATAATTTGCTCACACACAAGCCCAGAAAGTGATGTTACATTTCTTACAGATCCAAAATTAGCCCTGCAGATGCTTTTCTCCATTTTTCTCCAATTCTTCCTGTCGCTTTTGCTCTTCCAGACAAAACACATGGTTTTTTTTTTGCTTGCCACTGGTTTGGTTTTTGTCTTCCTCTTTTGTGAAGCTCCTGCTCTCCAAAGCTCTGTAGTAACTGCAGATGGGTGATAATTGGGGTGTTTTTATGATTTCCTGTCCGCCTCCAGTTGAAAGGGGTCAAAGTGTTCATCTCAGCAGATTGTTGGTGGCATCTCCGTCGTTTGCAGTCAGTGGCACTGCTGGAAATGTCAGACAGCACCCAAACCTTGCATAAAAATAAGTGATTTATAGAAGCCTTTTCTTCTGGGGAGGCTTTTGAACAAGCCCGAGTACACTGTGTGTGTGTGTGCTGTAAAATTAAGAAACCCCCCCAGTCTGTGTTGCTGTGTTTGCCATCAAACTGGCCCCAAATCTGGTGAACTTTGCCTTTTGGCCTCACAGGGTCCCTTTTTTTGTGTCCCTGCAGGTTCTCTAACGTCGATGTTTGTCAGGCTGCCTTGCGGTGGTGTCGGGGTGAGTGACTCTCTTTAATGTGTAAATAATGTCCTGTTTGTTCTCCCAGTGCCCTCAGCACCAACAAAATTGTTGCTTTGCATTCCAGCAAGTGGGTAATTGCGACCAGATGCTGCCCATAAACAGGGGCTGTGGGGCTGCTCAGCCTCACGTGCCTTTCTTCAAAAGCAGCAGGAAGGTTTTTCAGCTATTTTGGAGAGTCCAAATGTGTGGGGCATTCAGAGGCTTGTTTGGGCTCTGGTTTTTAGGAGGAAAAACCTCATTTCCCAGGCAGGGATGTTTTAATGGCTTCGGGGTTGCTCCCTTTGCACCAAAAATGCCTTTTCCGTGGAAAGCAGGATGTGTTTGTGCTGTGTAGGTGTTTCATCTTCTCTCCTTGGACTTCAGAGCTGCCTCGACAGCAGGTGGAAAAGGGGGGTAATAAAACAGTGATTATCCAAGGACAGTATTTGGGAAGTTCCTGTGAATAGTAAGTTTGTCCTTGAATTGAAATGTCCCGCAGGTTGTGCAGCACAAGGGATTTGTCTTCAGCATTTGGCATCTTTTATCCTCTAGCTCCAGAAAAATCCACATGGATTCTGAAGGAGGTGACTAAAACACCCCTCCATCCCTCCTGGAAAAGCTGAACATTACTTTTTCATCTGCCAGATTTCCATATAATAAGACTTTTTGTTGTTGTTTGTTCCCATAAAGCCAAAAAACCCCCAAACCCTAAATACCTTGTTTTGAAGGTTTTCTCGTTTTCCTTTGGAGCCTGAGAACTTAAATGTTTCCCTTTCAAGTCAGACTTTCTGCTCCAGAGTTTCTGTGGAGGGTGACAGGACAGAAAATCGTGGAGAACAGGAAGGGAAAAGAATGAGAAGAGACAATAAAAGGCATTGTGTTTGAAAATTCACAGCGGTAGTTCTGTGCATAATTGTAGCTCGTGAGGTTGAGCTTTCAAGGTCTGGATTCTGTTATGGAAATGAAACAAAATTGTTTTCTTCCTGAGCCTTTGCAAAATCGCTGCTTTGAAAATTATCCCGTCAAAAAAAAAAAGAAAAAAAGAGGAGAATAATCGTCGTTCCTTCATCCCGCCACTCGTGGAGAGATTTTATTTTGTATTGTAAATATGCTGCAGCCTCCTAATTCATGGCAAATTTTTGGCTGGAGCTTTAAAGGCTTGGATTTACTCTGCCCTGCAGTCAGGCATGCCATTCAAATAAAAAAAAAAAAAAAAAGTAAAATATAAAATTATCATTTGCAAATGAAGGCTGAATGGTAACGAGGGGAGGCAGGGCCTGGGCCCAGCACGGGCCCACAAGTCTGGCATTAAATCCTAAAGCAGGGCAGGAAACGCCACGGAGCTGGGATTGTTGGTGTGCTCCCACTGGAGAGAGTGCTTGCAGTTCACTTGCTGCTTGGTTGTCTCCACAGCCCCTTAAATATTAAATATTTACTGATTTTTTTATAATATTGCAGCAGTTTTAACAGAAGAACCTGTGCCAGAGCCTCGCTGCCCTCACAGGGAGGAATTCCTTCCTAACATCCCATCTAACCCTCTGGCAGTGGGAAGCCATTCCCCCTTGTCCTGTCTCTCCATCCCTTGTCCCCAGTCCCTCTCCAGCTCTCTTGGAGCCCCTTTAGGCCCTGGAAGGAGCTCTCAGGTGTCCCTGGAGCCTTCTCTTCTCCAGGCGGGACACCCCCAGCATTCCCGCTTTTCCTGATGGTGAAGGAACATGAGGCACACGTGATGGTCAGAGAAATCATCTCGGCTCTCAGTGGTTTGTGGCCCGAGCTCGAAGGAGAAGGGATTCATTTCAGCTTAGATTTCAGTTCTCTGATTTAGGCTGTGTTTATCTCTGAGTGGCAAAGGGACACTTCACGAGGCCCTGCATTCAGCTCCCCACAGCTTTCCAGCTGGCTTTGGAAGGAGCATTTTCCCTGAAGAGCTCCACCCTGCTTTGCCAAATACTTCCCAGGAGCATGTAATACCAGAAAGTCAAAAGGAAAGAAAGGAAAAAGTGGAATAAGGTGGGACAGGTCCTCTTTTGGATTGGTACTGGAGCAGGTGATTCCTGTTGCTTGTAATTCAGGAGCTGAGGGTGTCACGTGGAATAATGGACTGGAAAGCTGGAAACCAGGAGGTTTTTCTTCGAGCAGTTCTCTTCTCTAGGAGTTGTTGTGTAGATGAAAAGAAAATGGAGGGGTCTGAAAGGTGATTTGGGGCACTTAAGGTGGGGGAACCCCATGAAGAGCTGTTTTGCTCCAGGATGGAGAATGAATCCTGGTGCTTGGGCAGCCAGGAGTTCTCAGCAGTGAGCAAGACAAAGGACATTCAAGGGAGCGAATCACAGAATATCCTGAGTTGGAAAGGACCCATCAGGACCATCCAGTCCATCTCCTGGCCCTGCCCAGGACACCCCAACAATCCCACCCTGTGCCTGGAGCGTTGTCCAAGCTCTCCTTGAGCTCTTGAAGTGAAGCAGTAGGAAAAGTTTAGAGCAAATCTCTTCACCTCATAACACCTTTTGATCTCTCTCTTTAAAAACTAAGTCTCGATGTCTTGAAATCAATGAGAAGAAGGGCCAGTTTGATCTCAGGTGCTTGGAAACTCTTTTTCCTCCTTGGTTTGTCCCAAGAAACCTTCCCGTGGCTGACACCAACAGACCTCCTCCACCTGCAGCTGTAGCAGGGAAGGAAGAAAGCATAAAAGCACTTGCAGCAACAGGTGTGGGCTCTGGTTGAAGCAGCAGTAATTTATTTCTGCTGATCTTCAACAGCATCTGCAAATGCAGCACAGGGTGGTTTTGCTCAGCTTCACTTCTCCTCTCTGTGTCTGACTGAGCTGCACCATGGCGTTACCTAATCCAGGCTAATTACAAAAAGATTTTGGAGAAAGGAGTTTAAGCTTTGAAAATCTGCAACATCATTCCCATCCAGATTCTTCCAAACGTCCAAAGGCTTGATCTTAGGTTAGCTAATAAATGTGTTTCCTTTTCTGTGTAGTATTTTTCTGCACATTTTCTAAAAGCGTCTGGAGATACAGTTCTTTAAAGGGTGTTCTTCATGTTGTTGTTCTCCTCCAGAACATGTGACTCTATTTTTGATTAGCCTTGATTAGAGTGTATCAGAATCTTTACTTGTGCAAATAAAGTAGTTATTGCAGAACAGAGACCTCAAAAAGGACTTCCATGGAAATGGAAATGAGGAGAAACTAATTAGCAAGTCAGAGGAGACACAGTTGGGTGCTGCTGTTGCCTCAGCTCTGTAAGGGAAGAGCAGAACTGCTTCACTTTGCAGGGTCTGCAGCTGTGGCACAACCTGTCCCTGCACTTCATTTCTTCCCTGTGTAGCTCTTCAGCTAAAGAAAATAGTAGAATAATGAAACCTTTGTAAGGTGCTCATTTAATTCTGAAATAGCTGCACTTCAGTAGAGTTCACTGTGTGAGTTGGAGCCTCATCATGGATATTAATAAAACCCAGAGCTTTTAGCAAAGGGAGGGAGTTCCTATAAGGAAATTGTAATTTTTATTGTGAGGAAGGGAGGTTTCACCCTGAAACTTCTTGGACATTCCTTATAGAACAGAGACTGGATCAAGCTGTTGACCTTTCTCTTGTGCATCCCCTCCTCACATAACAGTAGATGTGAAGGGGACGAGCCTGCAGCAGATCCCAGGAGCTGAATTCCCTCTCCCCACCTCTAGGAGCCCTCTCTGAGGGTTCTCCTAGCAAATTTTTGATTAGAACGATCGAGGCATTAACTTTTCCTCAAGATGAGCAGCACAAGGGCTCCTCGTCTCACCGCGGCCGATGTGGGAGTCGGTGTCTCTGACAGATCCAGGGGTGTCCTCCAGATCCAGAGGAAAAAAGAGAAATACACCCTGTTAGACCAAAAAAAGGCAAGCAATGTGCTTCCTCTCTCCCTAAAGTCCTTCCAGATGGCAAAGCTTGATGTGCTGGCCCAACAACTCCTGTGATGGCAGTGACATCAAAGAGCTCCCGGGCAGGGAAAGCCAAACAGCCTCTTCCCTGTAATGAACTTCAGGATTCAGGAATGGTGGAGGAGTCAACAGCAGCCTGGGCACCAAACAGCAGCAGCTTTGGAGCTGCACAACAGTCCAGCTCAGGGCAACATGAGTAACGTTTTCCAGCATGGCAAGAGCACCGAGGGCTTTGGAGGGACCATTCCAGCACTCCCAGGATGAAGTGCTGCCTTGGAGTCACCTCAGACATCCATTCCAGGAGGGTGGCTGGGTGTTAAATCCTTACCTTGGAGATGTTTGCAGGATGAGGTGGTGGATATCTCCGGATCCAGTCCTCTCCTGCTGGGAAGCTGAGTGTGAGCAGACTCCTTGGAATTGCTTCTAAATCCCAGTGGGAATGCTCTTTTCCAAGTACTCCATGTCTTTCTGCCTGAGTAATATCACTGTAAATCCACTCTGCCTTGCCCTCCTCGATCTTCCTGAGTGCTGCCACCACCAGCCTGGTTTCTCCAGGCATCCAAGGGAGGGCCTGAACTTGGCTTGGCTTCAGCACCGGTGATTCCTGTCTCCTTCATAGGGAAAACTGGCACCCAGAGCCATCTCAGGGGATCTAAGAGTGTTGGTCCCTCAAGACGTGAGTTTGGGGGTTTTTTGTATTCCATTCCTCTGGAATGGAATGAAGATGGCCCTTTGCAAGCCTGCATCCACAGAAGGAGCCTGGTACTTGCTGTGTCCAGGCAGAGAGGGAAGCTGTGACCTACAGTGTCCTGCAGCATTTCCTTGCAAGACCAAGAGAAATGGATCAAATTTGCTCCAAAATGGATCAGATATGCCCGAAGATGGGTTAGATATGCTCAAGAATGGGTCAAGTGTGCTCAAAGACGGGTCAGATATGCTCAGAGATGGGTCAGATATGCCCAGAGATGGGTTAGATGTGCTCCAAGATGGGTCAGAGACTCAAAAAGATGGATTAGATACAGATAGAGGAGCCCAAAGCTGGACCCTCACAGAGCCCTGCTGGGCTGATTGGTGGGAGGTCTTCCCACCTTGTCTGGGCTTTTGGAGGGCCCTGGTCAGGTCAGTGCCATGTCCTGCAGTGCTGATCCAGGATTCCTGGAGCTGTTGTGTGTAACAGATGCCGTTGTCCTTCTGTTCCCATGTTACTGCCCAAACTTTCGGGGCTCCTGGTACCACAAGTAGTCCCTGGAGGGCTTTCCCTCCAATTCCTGGCTTTCCCAGAGGCACAAACGTGGCTCTGTGGTGTTCTGCAAATCTTTTTCTGTGGCTTCCAAAGCATCCTCAGGGGGGATATTACCAGAAACCATCCCTGATAACAGACCTGGAATCCTTTGCACTGGCTCTTCCTCCTTTTCCTTTTCCTTTTCCTTTTCCTTTTCCTTTTCCTTTTCCTTTTCCTTTTCCTTTTCCTTTTCCTTTTCCTTTTCCTTTTCCTTTTCCTTTTCCTTTTCCTTTTCCTTTTCCTTTTCCTTTTTTTCCTTTTTTTCCTTTTTTTCCTTTTTTTCCTTTTTTTCCTTTTTTTCCTTTTTTCCTTTTCCCTTTTTTCTTTTCCCTTTTCTTTTTCCCTTTTCCCTTTCTTTCCCTTTCCCTTTCTCCTCTTCCTCTTTCTTTCTGGAATCATGGAACGATTTCCTAAACCTCTTTATTTCATCTGGGATCAGTTTCCTGCACAATTAAAGAGAAATCCTGATACCATGGGCACAGAATCCCAGAATCCAAGAATGATTTGGGTTGTAAGGGACCTTAAAACTCATCCAGTCCCACCCCCTGCCATGGGCAGGGTCACCTTCCACTAGCCCAGGTTGCTCCAAGCCCTCTCCAACCTGGCCTTGGACACTTCCAGGGATCCAGGGGCAGCCACAGCTTCTCTGGGCAACCTGTGCCAGGGCCTCCCCACCCTGACAGCCAAGAATTCTTTCCCAATATCCCATCTAGCCCTGTCCTCTGGCAGTGGGAAGCCATCCCCCTTGTCCTGGCCTGTGGATAGTGCCAGTGTGAAGTAGGGCTCCCTGTCCCTCCTGCTCCTCACGTGGTTCCCGTGTGTCCCTCAGGTCGACAGTGACACCATTTGGAACGAAGTGCACTCGTCGGGGGCCGCCCGCCTGGCCGTGGGCTGTGTCATCGAGCTGGTCTTCAAAGTGGCCACAGGAGAACTCAAGGTGGGTATGGGAACAAGCCCTGGGCTGTGCTGGAGGCTCAGGGATGCAGGACTCCAGGAGCTCCGGGACTTCTTTCCTTCCCCCTTCCCGAATGAGGGAGAGCATCCCCTGCCGCCACAGTCTTGTTCCAAAGCACAGTTCAGGCTTTTCCCTGCAACCTCTGCATCCCTCTTTGCCTCTCTGACTTCTTCCCTTTCCTGTCTTTTGTGTGTAGAATGGATTTGCCGTTGTCCGGCCCCCGGGTCACCACGCAGAGGAGAGCACCCCCATGTGAGTATGAGGGAGGGCTTTGTTGACTTGCTCCAGGGCTTGTTTGATCCACAGCTGGAAATTCAAAAGGAATTTTGTTAGGATGTCCCTCCAGAGTTCCTGTTTATTGAGAGGTGAGATGTGTTACAATTCTCTGGAAGGGGGTAAGATCCTGCTTCGTGCTTTTGAGGGAGTGTTTTGTAGCAAGGATCAGCATTCCAGCCTCTCCTTGCAGTGGGTTTGGGCAAATGTGGAGCATTCCCAGTTTCCCTAGAGCTGGCAGGATGCCTGCTGCTGGAATTCAGCACATGGCCATCTTCAGTGGGAAGTGGGTCCTAGTGGAAGGTGTCCTGCCTGTGGCAGAGGCTTGGAACAAGACAAACCGAAACCATTCCATGTTTCCAAGGAGGAAAGAAGAAATTCCTTCCTCCTGTGTTCCATCCAGGTGATGGATGCACTGGGACCAAGGAAAGCTGTAATTAACCCTTGTCCTTTCCTCTTGTCTCCCCTTCCAGGGGTTTCTGCTATTTTAACTCCGTGGCAATCGCAGCGAAGCTGCTCCAGCAAAGGCTCAACGTGAGCAAAATCCTGATAGTGGACTGGGTGAGTAAATCCACTTCTTTCCCTTTGGTACAGCAGGTGGAAATTATTCTGGATGGGTTTTTTTCTTGCAAGGGGCAACCCTGGTTTTTTTAGTCACGTGTTACCTGTGCTCTGCAAGCGAAAATTTGGGGTTTAAAGTGATTGAAAGTGTTTTAACAAAGACAAATTTCTTTAAGAATCCACAGTTTCCCAAATAAAATTGTAATTAAGAAGTAGTTGCTTTCTAAAACAAGCCCAATCCACAGTCTCAAGGATAACTCAAGGGTTATTTTTTTCCTGGTTCATCCCAGTTTTCTTTTCAAGATGCAAGGACCAGTTACTGGGAGGAACAGGCTACCTAACACAGCTTGTCCTTGTCCCTGTGTCCTGCCTCTGAGAAAGGGCTCCTTTGGGGTTTTGCTGTGGCAATGCATAGATTTTTATATTTTTTAATAAATTTCATGTGACTGTGAAGGCATTGGAGTGGCTGGACATCAGCCAAGAGTTTTGATTATATTGTCAAATGGGCTAAACCGAGTTAAAATGGATTTATTTGTCTTCTGGACCTGCTGGAAGGACATCCTTTTCCTCACTTCCCACCTGTTTTTCACAGCAGGAAGGGGAATTTTGAACACCTGTCCAGTTCCAGGCTGTGTTTCTGCACCACATGAGGGATCTGGAGATGGGTTGTGTTGTTCAACCCTGTTGGGTCCAACACAACTTTACTGGTATCAGATGCAAATTTGGGGCCAAAAATACAGTTTCTCTATCCCCCAGTCTTTGGTGTGAATCCAGTTCTCTCCATCCAAGTCAATCAGTCCTGTCTCAGGTTCCACAGACACTTGGGATTGTGTTTATTCTGTGTTAAACAAGGAAGCTGAAGCCAGGTGAGCAAAGCAGGTTGTTCCCATTTCCCATAAACTGCTTCAGCCGGATCAGGGAAGCGCTGAAAACAAAGCCCAACAGCAAGAACCCCCCCAAATCCCAAATTTATGCCTTTAATCCACATTTTTCTGAAGATATTAATCTCCCTCCTCTAATCTCTGTCCCTCAGGATGTCCACCATGGGAATGGGACTCAGCAGGCCTTCTACAACGATCCCAATGTCCTTTATATCTCACTGCATCGCTACGATGATGGGAATTTCTTCCCAGGCAGCGGCGCTCCCGACGAGGTAAGGGCATGGATCAGCATCAGGACCTGCTCAGGTGCTCCCAGAAATCCCAGGAGGCCCCTGCCAGGCTTGGAGAGAAGCTCCTACCGCCTCAATAGTGCTCCTTTGGGAACACTTCCCTCTGGTTTGTGTGTTTGGGGCCTTCCCGTCCAAGTCCTACCGGCCATGGGCTTTGTGTCCGGCTCATAATGAGTAATTAATGAGCAATTAAGGAGTAATTAAAGCTCTCTAACCCTTAAAGGACAACCTGTTCCAGAGGAGCCCTTTGCCAGCTCTCCCAACACTTCGTGTCCTTTGCAGGATTTCCCCTTTATGGGATCACAGGATCGTTAAGGTTGGAAAGGCCCTCCAAGATCACCGAGTCCAACCATTCCCCAGCACCACCGTGTTCCCCACGAACCCCTGTCCCCAACTGCCACATCCACATTTTCTCGACACTTCTGGGGATGGTGACTCCACCACTGCCCTGGGCAGCCCCTTCCAATGCCTGACCACCCTTTCCATGGGGAAATATTCCTTGTTTCCTCTCATCCTGTCCCTTGTTCCCCGGGAGCAGAGCCCAACCCCCGCCTGGGGGTCCTTCAGAGGGATTTATCAAAGGGAAACTTGATGGAATACTTAGTTTTGAGTGCTCTGAGACGCTCCAGGTGACACCCAAAAACTTCTGACCCTGTTTTCTTACCAATTTTACATTTTCTGATTCACAAAACATCCATGTTTCCATTTCAACCCCTTAAGAAATTAAATGGGATGTGATGCTGCTCCATCACCCTGTTTGTTGGGAAGGAACAGCCCCTTGCATCAGTCCTGCTCTTTAATAATCCAATAGTCTTACAAAATATCTGGTTTTGTAAGGAAGCACTAAACCATGCACTCTGTATTTAACCCCTTCGAGTCATTTTTAATATGTCTTTCCAGACTGAATAAAACAAAAGGATGCAAAAGAAATTCAGTCAAAGCCCCAGTTGAATAAATAACCCTGAATCCCCTGGCTGTGCACTGTAGAACTTGCAATTCATTTTCAAAACATTAACGTTCAATTTTACTTTTTATTTCCCATGCAGAGACCTTCTTGGCAAATGAATTGCTGGAACCCCCTCTTTTAGTTTTCAGTTTTCCCCTGTCTCAGGTAGTTGCAATCAGGGCAGATGGGGACATGCAAGGAGGGGGATTTAATTCCATCTCCCACCCACGTGTCCCTCAAGCAGCCAAAACCTCCTCTCTGTGAATCCTCTTTTTCCCCAGCAGAGGGGGAACTCACTCTGATTAAAATACGGGTTTTTTTCCCCAGTTGCAACTGTAATGACATAGAAAATATGCCTCTGGATAAAGCTGAGAATTAAGTATGGGAAGGTATTGCATTCCTGAAAAAAAGGAAGAGGATCCAGGTACTGGTGAGGTGTTTTTTGGGAGAGCAGCAGCCAAATTCCACTGGTCCCATAAGGATCAGGGCAGAGAGGAGCTTTATTTTCACTCTTGTTTTGTGGACCAGAGAAAAATTCACCTCACTATTGAATCCAAGAGATGTGTTGCCAGAATTCCCTGTTTCGTATGCATAATTAAGAGTCCCCTTTCCCTTTTCCAGGTTGGCACAGGAGCAGGAGTTGGTTTCAACGTTAACATGGCATTTACTGGTGGCCTGGATCCACCCATGGGAGACACGGAATATTTAACTGCTTTCAGGTAATAGTGAATAGTTCCTCTTCAAAATGTGCTTTGCACCTAAACTGGGTTTCTTTCTCCTCATTAATCTGGGCTTTCTCCCTTTCCAAAGTTAGAAATGCAGGATTTGCATGTAGTTGCAGTTACTTTTTGAGTGCCATGATAAAAACAAGGTGAATTAGGATATTTCTGGCTGTGGCCTCAAGGGATGGACAAATTTGCTGCTCACTGTTGATTGATCCATGGATAGAAATTATTCAGTGATAGGAATAAGCCCTTCTGGTTCTGGCTAAAAATCTTGGGACCTCTTTAGGGGCAGTATTTCTATGGCTGAGCTCACCTGAGTGGGAAAAGCAGGATAAACTTTGGAAAGAGTCAGCCCAGGTTGGAAGTGGGGGGTGCAGCTGCCCCAGGGCCTGAGGGGGCATCTCTGGTGCCCAAAAATGGCATCACTGGAGGCTCCAAACGGAGCAGGGGATGAAACTACTTGACTCAAGGTCAAGAAAAAAAGTTTAGATGGGATATTGGGAAGGAATTCTTGGCTGGGAGAGTGGGGAGGGGCTGGGATGGAATTCCCCGAGAAGTTGTGGCTGCCCCATCCCTGGAAGTGTCCAAGGCCAGGTTGGACAGGACTTGGAGCAACCTGGGCTAGTGGAAGGTGTCCCTGCCCATGGCAGGGGGTGGAACAAGATGAACTTTAAGGTCAACCCAAAACCCAAATTCCATGATTTTTTTTAGACTGTCCTGTCCCACACCTGCCTCCCACCTGTGGCTCCAGCCTCTCCAAGTGGAATTTTTTAAACACTTTCAAGTGGTTTTCTGTCCTCACACCAGGTTTGGTGACCTCTGGTGACCACCCCACCTAAATTCAGGGAGACATGTCCTTTCCAAGGCCTGGGATGTGAATTTCTGGAATATCACCTTCCTGGGATGGCATTAAATCCAGGAACACTCTTCCCTGTCCTAAATAACGTGTATTTATCTTCTGTTACACTGAGCAAAAAGAGCTTTTTCTCCCTCTTCATCCTGCCATTAAAAAGCCTTCCGAGGATATTCCCAATTTAAAATAACATCTTGTCAAATCCCTCTTTTCTTCCTGGAAGGCAGCACTTTGCTCCAAGGTGGAAGTCTGGTTATCCCAACATTCCCAAGCCTGATCTCTTCCTTAGGCAGAGAACCTGGAGCTGGGGACGGAGTGACATTAAATATTAATTAACTTTCCAGGCTCCTGGAAAATTGCCTTTTCCAGCCATTCCTGGTGTCTTTGCCCGGAGAGTGCAGCTCTTTGGGGAACATACTTCGGAGCTGCTCACAGCCCTTTATTTCAGGAGTTTTTGGGAAGCTCACGGGACTCCATGTGCACACCTTCAGTCCATAACTTTAACGGGAAGCTTTTTTTTCATCTGACTCCAACGTTGGGCACGATAATCCATTATCAAGTGACCTTTTGAAATCTCAACCAGCTCCTTTGAAAAACATCCCCCCCCCGAATCTTTCTATTGATTTGAATGTAAAATAACTCTTTGAAGTTTGCAATTTATAGTCCCCTGAGAGTCAGAAAGTGAAGGGAATGGGTCATATATCCTATTTTTCCCCCCCTCTTCTTTCCTTGCTTTAGCCCCCTGAGACAATTCATGCCTTCAAGGCAGCACCTTGTTATTCCACCCCATCGAATGCCACGTTGCATTTGCCGGGGATCAAACCAGGAGATGAAGGAAAGATAAGAAAATTGGCCATAATGAACTCCAGAAGCAGGAGGCATTTTCACCGTGAACTTGGAAACTCTGCAGTGGAGAGCTGAGCTTTAATTCAAACCAGTCCCGGTGCCAAACTGGGAAGGCTTTGAAGTCTGGAGAGGAATCAGTGGAAATCCTTTGAGCCAGGCAAAGATACTGATAGACTTTTTCTTTTTTTTTTTTTTTTTTAAGCCTTAACTCTTCACATTCCTGCCTATTTTTTGGGGGGGGGGAAAAAAGTCCTTTTTCTGCGTAAAACGAGCAGAATGAAAGCGAGCGACCCACTCGATGCTTTTATTTCAGGGCGAGCCCACGTGTGGGTTTGAGAAATGAAAACAACGGAGCTAATTGTCCGTAGAAATGAGGGAATAAATAATTCCTAATGAAATCACTCATCCCCACACTGAAAACCTGTTTTGGGGGTTTGTATCAGTGATTTTCCTGCTATTATTTCTCCTCCAAATATTGGCTCTCCCCTCTTGCAGTGGGGTCACGGAATCTCTCCTGACCTCTGGATGCTCCTTAATCCCACCAGGATGTTCCAAAAGTGAGAACAAGGGTTAAAAATGTGCCTTTCCCTGCACTTTGTCCTCATTATCTTCATAACCCAGGGCTGAAATCACCGGCTCAGGGTTGGGGTGGTGGCATTTTTTAGGGGGGGACACGGGGTGGAGATTCCAGAAGGGATTCGGGGAATTTTCTGGGAGCTTGGAGCAGCTCCACTCCATCCCAATTTCGGGCTGAACTCGCCCCCAAAATACGTGGGCAACCCAAATTGCAGAGATTAGGGAGAAATGTATTCAACCTTAAAGGGAAAAATTCAGGACATGTTATTCCCAAAATCATCAACTCATCCAGACCTTCCTGGTGTCTGTTACTCCGTTGTTCTAGAAACAAACAGTTGTAAAAGACTTGGAGGGTTTTCTGACCAGGATGTGTCGTTCCCTGATATTTTATACAAGCAGGAGTGGTGTTTCCTTCCCCAAATCCTCCTCAGGAACGCGCAAACCCAGCTGAGAGACCTGCAGGAAAAACGGGAAAACTCCGGCCGGTTCCTCGTTCCACGGCAACAGCAATTAATGGAATTAAATTGTATTATCTGCTGGCATTTCCCTGGGAATTTACCGCAGGAAAGTTTTCCTGGTGATTGGAGTGGATTTTTGCTCCTCTCCCGAGGTCTCCTCCCCAGTTAGAATTCCATGCGCAGCTCAACTTTTGTTTCAAACACCTAAAGCGCAAGGAAAAGCCGGGACTGTCGGGAAGATCCTGCAAAAAGCATTAAATGAGTGCAGGAACCAATTCTGGGGGGGGATTTTGGTTTTCCCTGGGAGCCATAAAGCAGGAATAAGGAACCAGGAGGGGGGGGAACGATGATGGTTTTGCCTGGATCGGTTGTTTCTGTGTTTTCAATTTCATGCTCTTCTGACACTGATTTTATCCCCAAATTCCTAATCCCTTTGGACATGGAAAATGAGCATGGAGATGGATGCCTGGGGAAAGAAAGACTGGAATTTTCAGGAGGCTGATTAGCCTTAGGAGCAGTGGATGACATTTTGAGTTATACATACATTTATATGTGTACACATTTATTTTTTATATTTTTATATATATATATATTTATGTACAATATACATAACATATATAAATATATATTTTACATATATAAATATTTTAAATGTAAAAATATATAATGGATAATTATAGACACATAACATATATAAAATATATATATAACAAACATATATAATGTGTACATATGTACATAATATATCTAATACATATACATAACATATATAAAATATATACACATAATAGAGAAATATACACGTGATATATAAATATATAATATATAAATATATGCAGAATATATTAAAATGTATAGTTAACATATATATAGAAATATATGCATGATGTATAGATATATAATATCTAAATATATGGATAATATATAAAAGGTATGCATATATATGTAACATATAAAAATATATTCTTTATATAAATAGATGCATAATATATACTTATAAACATATACCCATAACATAAAAATATAGATAATTTATATAAATATATGCATAACATATTGTTAACATATAGAAATATGCACATAACATATATGAAATACATCTACATAAATATATTCATAACATGGAAAAATATATACATAACACATATAAATATATGCATAACAAATAAAATACATTTAAATAAAGATATCCATAATATAAAAAACATCTACTTAGCACATATAAATATACACATAACATGTACAAAAATATGGCTAATTTGTATAAACATATGTATAATATACACTTAAAATGTATTTATATAAATAGATGCATACTATATAAAAATATATACTTTGCACATATAAATATATATAAAAAATATAATTATACAAGTAGATGCATACTATATGAAAATATATCCTTAGACATATAAATATACACATAACATCTATAAAAATATGCATTTGCATGCATATATACATAATATATAAAAATATATAGTTAAAATAGAGAAATATACTCATATATTAAAAATATTTATATAAATATAAAATATAAATGCATAATATATAAAAATATATGCTTAACATATACGCATAACATGTGTGGAATATAGATAATTTATATAAATACATGTATATTATATACTTAACTTATATAAATATACACATAATATATAAAAATGTATTTATATAAATATACACATAATATATAAAAATGTATTTATATAAATATACACATAATATATAAAAATGTATTTATATAAATATATTATATATAATATATATTAATGTAGATAATTTATATTTTTTATATTATTTATATATTATATATAATTTTAAAAATATATACTTAGCACATACATATAACACATAAAATATATATTTTGTACAAATAGATGCATAATATATAAAAATATATCCTTAGCACATATAAATATCCACAGAAGTATATAAAAATATAGATAAAACATATATATATTTGTGGCCAACAGCGGGAAAAAGGCTCCACTAAAATGCTCAGCCTCCTAAATTCCCCTGATTTCCTTGCTGCCATCGAGCATTTAAACCCCAAATTAATCCTCTCTCGGGTTGTTTCACCTGCATATCATTTATTAGGCATTTAATTGGCGGATTGGCTGATGGCAGGCTAAAAATAATTCCTTCAGGCCTCTGGAAAATAGAGCTAAAATTGCATTTATTTTTTTTCCTCGCTCCCAAGCGATGGCAGGACACGCTGGGGAGGTTTTGCTGTTTGCAGCCACCGGTTGTCCCTGTTCAGCTTCTTCAAAAAGAAGGGTTTAATTTAGTTTAGGCAAGCCAAACAAGCCTCTGAAATTCAGGAAATTTCAATTTCCTTGTGTTTTAAAAAAATTCCACGTGGATTGAAGGAATATTCGGTGTTAGGACTATTCATTCCTCACCGAAGAACTTTACAGCCAATCCTTAAATGCCCCGATTCCTGGCAAAACTGCTCATCTCCTGGATGATAATCTGAATTTCTGGCTTTTTTCTGGTCTCCTCAGCAGGGCAAAGCCCTGGGATTGTTTGCAGTTGAATCCTTGTTTTCTCTCAAGGACTTGGCTTTCCTGGGATGGATCTGAGTGAAGGGGCTGGTTTTCCGTGGGGATTAGAAAGGAAAAGGCTGGATGAGATGGGCCTGAAATGTTGTCCACAGATGGAATCTGGGAAACACATGGGATTTCTTTTCCTTTTTTCCAATTAAAAAGGCAAAATGAGGGAATGCTGCCTCTGACCCTCCTGGATCAAGTTTTATGTCCAAAGATACAGCTGCTTTTATGGATATGGAGCAGCATCAACATGGGCTGTGGCTTTGGAATATTGATCTCTTTACTCTCATATCCAGGGACAGGAGCTGAGGGAACGGCTGGAGCTGTGCCAGGGCACGTTTAGGTTGGATCTCAGGAAAAGGTTCTTCCTTTAGAAGGTGGTTGGGCACTGCCCAGGCTCCTCAGGGAAGTGTCAAGAGCTCCAGGAACGTTTGGACAGTGCCCTCGGGGACAGGGTGGGATCATTGGGGTATCTGTGCAGGGCCAGGAGTGGGACTGGATGATCCTGGTGGGATCAGGAGATTCTGTGGTTCTGGAATTCGGAGAAAATCAGAAGCAAGAGCAGCCCTTGAGAGTTTGAGTGGGAGTCAGGGGGGAAGGAGAGGCTTCAGGCCTGGATTTGGGAGTGCTCTTGGCTTGGGATGTGTTTGGACAGCCAGTGGGCACAGACTGTCCATCTAGACCTCTTGGAGAGGGAGCCAGGGGACCTGGGACACATTCCTTAAAACTCTGAGGGACCTGCCAGCAACACACAGCACCTCTTGGAATTGCTCCTAGTTGGAGGTACGTGCTGGAGTAACCATTTGTGGCTGGAGGTCCCTCCATCCTGTGCCGCAGAAAACTCTGGACATCCTCAAAGCAGCTTCTTCTGAGCCCTGCTTTACTTTGAACCAACAACTGCTGCTTGTCCTCTCCTAAAATTCCCCCCCCAGGGCTCAGGGTTAACCCTCGGGGCAGGGCTGGGCTGGAGGAGGCACCTCCAAACCACTGTCACCTCCTGGAGACCTCCAGTCAAGAGTCACCAACTGTCCCTGTTCCTCTGGAGCCTTTGTCCTGGGCCATCAGTGGATGCCCATGGCAGGGGGTTTGGAATGAGATGGTCTGTAAGGCCCCTCCCAACCCAAAGCATTCCATGATTCTGTGAGCTGTCCCGTGGCCAAGAATCCTTAAGGATCCACGGTCCTGTGCGTTGCTCTGTCCCCACACCTTGGTGATCCCACACTTCCAGCGAGGTCCTGGCAGCTCCCATGCCATGAGAACTCTGGGGGAAAAAATAAATCTGATGATTTTAGGAGTTCTCCTTTAGCTGGGAATTAAAGGGCTCAGCAAGACTTCGAAGTTCAAGGAGAATAAAACCCTTGACCACGTGTGCTGGGTTTGGAAGTGCTCCTCCAGTCCTTGGTGAGGGAGGTGGATTCTATGGATTTATGGTGGACTTAAAGAGTGTCCTGGTAGCACTCGGACCATCCCAGCACGGAACAGGCCTCTCTGGGCTCTGTTTCAGGGCATCCCTTAATGACTATTCAGTAAAGCAACTTTCTCGTGCGTGCAAAGATATTTATGGGTTCCTGCTTTGGGATGTGAATCAAACCAGTTCATGCTGTAGGAAGTTATAATGGAAAAAGGACATACTTTGGAAAATGCATCTTGAGGTGGGGAATGGGGTGTTTGCACCTTCTTGTTGGTTTTGAGGAGAAGTTGTGGTGTTTGAAGAGAGAGAAACCAGAGGGAAAAGGTCTTTTGGTGAGAAACCACAGGCACAGACCCCTTGTTTCATTTAAATACCTCTGGACAGTCAGTAGTTTATGAATGCTGAGCAATTCCATCCATTTTTTAGTGGATAAAAGGTCAGAGGATGGGGAACTGGCACTGAGAGAGGTGTCTTTGGGTGGGGAACCAGTTCAAAGAGGTGTATTTGGGTGGGACATTTGCATTTTAAAGCTTTTTTTTGCTCCGTGGGACATCCCCAACCTTTCATTTCATGGGAAATGAAAAGTTTAGCAAGGAAAAGAGAAACCACTTTGCCAAACCTGAAGGAGATATTTTGAAGGAGGACACGGAGACAGTGCCATGAACTGACTTTTTCCAGGTGGATTTGCAGCCGGTGGCAGATGCCCTCTCATTTCCTCCTTATTCCCATGTATGTAGAGCAGGATATGATCCCAAATGGGAAGCACAAGTTATTACAACTCGTTTCCCTGCTCACAACACGAGGATGTTGGTGGAAGAAATCACAACCAGCACAACATGTTGTGCTCTCACCTCGGAGGAAAACAGGAGCTGGGCTTTGCTGCCATGGAATAATGCTCCCAGCCTGGAGAATTAGGAGGGTTTAAACATTCCTGCCTTTGTTCAGGAGCCCAACTGATGTGTTCCCTGGTTCCTTTGTGCTGCAGGACCGTGGTCATGCCCATTGCCAACGAGTTTGCCCCGGATGTGGTGCTGGTGTCGTCCGGTTTCGACGCGGTGGAAGGACATCCCACCCCCCTGGGAGGGTATAACCTGTCAGCAAAATGTAAGTTGGGGCTTGGCAAGAGCAGGGAGCCAAAAATGGGGCCAATTGCTGCTCTACAGTATTCCTAAATTTTACATTTTGGGATTTAACTTCAGATCTTTCATTGCAGCAGCAAAACTTTCGGCCTTTTTCTTTGAATTTTCGTGGGGTTTTATTTTACAATATATATTTACCTTTTTTTTTTAAGCATTACATATTTCAATTTGGAGTGCAAATTATATTTATATAATTTCATATATTTATAATATTATAAATATCATTAAACTCATTTGTAGACACATCTCTGCAGAAAACAGCTGCTGAATTGCAGAGTTAGACTGGGTTTAAAGCAAAATTGCAGAAATAGCAGCTGTAAACACTCGCTTTCAATGCTACCACGAGGCCATTTCTTCCTCCAGGACCCCTTATTAAAATTTGGAGCTGAATATTTTTGTTCTCCACCTTTGAAGCAATTGCAGAGACCCACAAGAATCTCCATTTTGCTTTGGATCCAGGATGTCTTTGGGAGATGCACTGAAATCCCCCCTCCTTGGTTATGCTGAGTTTACCTGGCACTGTTTCATTCCAGTGAATCCAGGAGACAGTTTTTTCTTGCAAAAAGGATTTTATTATTATTTTTTAAGAGTTTGTGTCAGCCAGGAGAGTTGTTCTCTCCACTGAACTTCAGAAACCTCGTGAGGGAGCTGAACCTGTAAACTTTATATAAGAATAAAGTGAAATAGATTTACAAGAGACAAGTTATTCGAGATCTCCAGAAACACTTGGGAATGAGAAGCTCTTGTTTACCTGCTGCTTGAATTTCCCATGGTTTGCTCCTCTCCCAAAGCAGTGAATCATTTTATCTGCCTGTTCATTTGTTAATTTGCCAATTCTGCAGAGCACAAACCAGGGAGATGGAGGGGAGAAGTTCCCTGGCTTTTCTTTTGTTTGGCTTCTGGGATTTTTTCCGAGGGGGAAGGTTGCTTTGAGGACACGTTTTTTAAATCCTCCTAGCTTGGGTCTGTTTTGTTTAAAGGGGAGAGAAATGTATTGTGTGTCATCTGATCAAAGTGCCGGGTGCCCCTGGAATTTTTATAGCATATTCTATAGGGGAAGAGCTGTCTGCTGAGAACGAGATGTCAGATATCTCTGGGGCACTGCAGTGCTGCTATTCCAGCCGAAATATTCCTGATTCCCCCTCCTCCTCCCTCCCCTTCCACTGCTCCCACTTGGTGTCTCCTGAACCACTGCTCCAATTCGGCGTCTCCCAAAGCAGGGCCACAATCTGCCTCTTTCCCTCCTTCCCAAGGGAATATTCCTTGCTGGGGTGCTGAGGGGTGACGGGGAGGATGGTGGGATAAGCTCCTGGAGATCCACCCAGGGAGCTGTGGCTGGAATTAAAACCCAACCTGGCTCACATTATGCGTTGAGTCCTTTCGGACTGAACTCCCAAAGCAGGGCCAAAATCCTCCTCTTTCCCTCCTTCCCAAGGGAATATTCCCTGCTGGGGTGCTGAGGGAGGATGGTGGTGCTCTGGAGATCCGTCCAGCTCTGGAATTAAAACCCAGCCTGGCTCACATTATGCGCCGAGTCCTTTCAAATCCCCGGTGGGTTTTTAATATGATGTAATTCCTCTCTCTAATTCTTTGATCCGCCGCCAGGAGCCCCATTCCAGGCACAACCTTTGCCCTTCTCCTGCATTTGCTCTGTTCCCTCCTCCAGGCTTCGGGTACCTGACGAAGCAGCTGATGGGCCTGGCCGGGGGCCGGGTGGTCCTGGCCCTCGAGGGTGGCCACGACCTGACCGCCATCTGCGACGCCTCCGAGGCCTGCGTGGCTGCTCTGCTGGGCAACGAGGTACAGGGACACTGCACACGGGGACACTGCACACGGGGACACTGCACACAGGGACACTGCACACAGGGACACTGCACACGGGGACACTGCACACGGGGACACTGCACACAGGGACACTGCACACAGGGACACTGCACACGGGGACACTGCACACGGGGACACTGCACACGGGGACACTGCACACGGGGACACTGCACACAGGGACACTGCACACGGGGACACCGGTTTGGGGCACGGGGGATCTGCTGCAGGGCTCTGCAGAGCGACCTGCACAGGCTGGAGACGTGGGCCAAATCCAGCGGGATGAGGTTCAACCAGGCCAAGTGCCGGGTCCTGCCCTTTGGCCACAACAACCCCCGGCAGCTCCAGGCTGGGGACAGAATGGGGGGACAGAGAGGGACGTGGGGGTGATGGTGACAGCGGCTGGACATGAGCCAGGGGTGCCCAGCTGGCCTTCTTGGCATCATTTGATGGCACCTGGGCTGGGTCAGGAACAGTGTGGCAGCAGGACTAGGGAGGTGATTCTTGGCATCATTCCATGGCATCCTGGCCTGGATCAGGAACAGTGTGGCAGCAGGACCAGGGAGGTGACTCTGCCCCAGGACTGGGCACTGGTGAGGCCTCACCTTGAGTGCTGTGTCCAGGTCTGGGCCCTCAGTTGAGGAACGACATGGAGGGGCTAGAGGAGGTGCAGAGAAGAGCAGCGAGGCTGGGGAAGGGACTGGAGCACAAGTGCTGTGAGGAGAGGCTGAGGGAGCTGGAGCTGTTCAACCTGGAGAAGAGGAGGCTCAAGGGAGACCTCCTCACTCTCTACAACTCCCTGACAGGAGGGGGGAGCTGGGGGGGTCGGGCTCTTCTCCCAGGAACAGCAGTAGGACAAGAGGGCACAGCCTTGAGCTGCACCAGGGGAGGTTTAGGTTGGACATTGGGAAGAAATTCTTCCCAGAGAGAGGGATCAGACCTTGGAATGGGCTACCCAGGGAGGGGTGGAGTCCCCGTCCCTGGAGGTGTTTAAGGACAGACTGGATGTGGCATCAGTGCCATGGGCTGGATGACAAAGTGATGTTGGGGCAAAGATTGGACTCAGTGATCTCAGAGGTCTTTTCCAGCCTGGTTGATCCTGGTAAAACCACCTTCCTTGGATTTGGGCAGCTCATCCCCCAAAACAACCAACCTGCCAAAGTTTCGGCATCGCTTTGGGTCCTTCTGACACTCATTGATTTAAAGAGTGGTTTTTTATATAAAAGCTACCTGTGCTTGGCAGTCTGAATTAGAAAGAGTGAAGCAGCTAAAAACTGATTTTTTGGGTGGATGTAAATAACTTGCTTTGTGCTTTTTGAAAAATAACTATTTTAATTTATTTCTGAGTTCATCCTCCAAACCTTCCCTTCTCTTCGTTGCCCTCTCTAGACCCATTGCTTACTTGGCACTGTTTGCAGTTGTGTTTTGCCCTTGGAGTTACATTTTGTATTTTCTGCATGTTGCTGTGTAGGAAGAGGCTCAGCTGTGTCAGAGAAACTGGCTGGAAAGGCCAGGAGGTGTGGTTGCAAGATAAGGGCAAGACAGAGAAATACACCAAGGAATTACAGGGTTTGGATTCTGGGAAGCTCAGGGTATTTTCCTGCAGAGGAAACTTTAGATACTTCAGCTTTTCTGCCTTTTTTCCTCCCACACTTTCAGTGTCAGTAGGATTAAGGAAGAAATACTACATCTACAGATCTTTTAAACCTCTCCAGGGATGGTGACTCCACCACTGCCCTGGTCCCCATCCCTGGAAGTGTCCAAGACCAGGTTGGACGGGGCTTGGAGCAACCTGGGCTAGTGGAAGGTGTCCCTGCCCATGGCAGGGGGTGGGATGGGATGAGCTTCGAGGTCCCTTCCAACCCAAACCATTCCACAATTCCGTGAGATTTTTTTGCATCAGCCACCTCTCTTAAGCCAAGTTGTCACCACAGACAATTCCTCTGGCTCCATCCACCTTTGGGAGCAGCTGGCTCTAGTGGCAGGATGCACTTTGAAAGGGAAACAGTGGGAATGACACCTGAAGGATGTCATTCCTCCTGGGATGCAGGGGGTGACTGCAACATGGTGTGAGGATCTGCCTGCAGTAAGTGCTTGAGCCAAGCAATGGATGTGTTGGGAAGTGTGAGGCTGTGGGGAGATCCCAGCACTCCCAATAACTTGGATATTATCAGCAGCCTGAGTGGTTTCATTGAGCCGGGTAAGAGGTAAAAAACACGGAATTTTTTAATCACAGCTCTAAGACACTTGAAAATACTTCAAGCTAGACCTGTTCTCGCTTGTCCTAGGTGGGCTGTAAGGCTGTGCAGATATCAGGCCAATATCCCCCTGACTTACCCACACATCAAAAAGCAGGAAACACGAGTTTTATCACGGCCTTTCCTCAAATCTCTTTAATGCAGGGAAGTCGGAGGGAGCGGCTGGTGCTTTGTGCCGCGGCCCTTTGATGCAGTTTGATGTACAGCCTGTGAGAGGCTCCTGCCTGCACACACATGGACAGGCAGCTGTGGGAGCTTTGCTGCCTCAGGAACGATCCCAGAGCCGTGTGGGGACTGGTAGGAAATGAGGGGAACGGTGCCAGTCCCCAAAGCGTCTGTGGAGATCAAACCTCCCGCCTCGGAACAGGCGCTATGGAAAAGCAGGAGCCGGCGCGCTTCCAACCAGCCAGGAAATGAAAACGGGGCTTTGGCTGTGCAACTGAGGGCTGGGCTGGGCAGGGAGGCAGTGCTGGGGCTTGGGAATGGATGGACATTGTGGGCACTCGTGTGAAGCTGATGGGACATGAGTTGGAAAAGCAGAGGTGGGGTTGGTGCAGGGAGAGAGTTTAATCCAAGCTGGGGGGGTTCACCTGGAGAAGGGAAGGCTCCAGGGAGACCTGAGAGCCCCTTGCAGGGCCTAAAGGGGCTCCAGGAGAGCTGGAGGGGGACTGGGGACAAGGGATGGAGGGACAGGACAAGGGGGAATGGCTTCCCAGTGCCAGAGGGCAGGGATAGATGGAATATTGGGAAGGAATTCCTGGCTGGGAGGGTGGTGAGGCCCTGGCTCACATTGCTCAGAGAAGCTGTGGCTGTCCTTGGATCCCTGGAAGTGTCAAGGCCAGGTTGGAGCAACCAGGGATCGTGGAAGGTGTCCCTGCCCATGGCAGGGGATGGGATGAGATGCTCTTTAATGTCCCTTCCAACCCAGACCATTCCAAGATTCCATGGTTCTGAGCTCTGCTGATGGCAGTTCAGACCACGAAGCCACTGTTCATGACCCAAAGCAGCCCCTGCCAAGCAGTGCTGGAGGGCAGGGCAACCACAGAGAGCTGCTCCCTCCATCAGGGGCATCACCAGCCTTCTGCCTGTTCCCAGGGAGTGACGTTGGATCCTCTGGAGCAGGGATGCCACCATGGGAATTGCCGCTGGTGGGCAGTGAGATGGGAAGCACGTGCAGGGGGACGTGGTCCTGCAGCTCTCACCCTGCTGCCTGTCCCTGCTGTAAATGCTTTTTCCTTTTTTTTCATGTGGAAGTAGTGGAGGTTTGTCCAGGATCAGGCTCTCAAGAAGGTGCTTAAAACCTCTGCCTGATGCCCAGAGGTGTTTCCTCCCTTTCCCAGGAGAGCAGTGGCTGAGGCTGTTGTTTGTGAGGGTTATTCCAGGAGGAGGAGAGTGCTCTGGAAGCAGGAACGTGCTTGGGATCAGTGTCTGAAAGCTCTTACTTAAACGACTCCACCAGGAACTGCTTTTGCCTTCCCTTAATGTCAGACAGAAACCAGTTTGGACCAGAACTATTTTTAGAGCAGAGAATTAATAAAAAGTGCAATCCATAATTACTAAATCTGGAATGCAGCAATTCCTGGTTCTCCTGAAGTACCTATGGAATGGCTGCCATGTGCTCATACGAACAGTCTTGGCTGGAGCTTCTCTTGGCTTTGAGCAGTTAAACTTTGCCATGGATTTCTGTTTTTTTAACTATTAAACCATGGCTGTTCTTTGCTGGAGAATATCCTTGGTTGGGCCTTGACTGCTGTTTTCAGACAGTGGACATCTCTGATTTTGGATACTCAGCCTTGGAGGTTTGTTAGGAATTCATGCTCCGAGTGGAGAACTGGAGAGGGTGAAGGTGTTCCCCTCTTCTTAGGTTTTCCTGAAGGAAATCAAAGAAACTCCAAAACGACCCTCCAGCAGTGCTGTCAGGGCCTTTCTCTGGGATGTTCCTGCTGCAGAACAGACTTTGCCAGGGTTGTGACCTCATGGTCTTGACACAGGAGGATGTCCAAGTCTTCTTGTCCTTGCTGATGTTTTCTGGCACCAGAAGAGCCCTGACTTGGTGCTCTGCAACACCCACCTCCTGGAAAACACCACGCAGGAGGATGTGCTTTGCAGTTTGGATCTGATTTCCCTTTGTCTATGCTGAGTGAAAGCTGCCGGGGCTGGGATGGATATGGGCAGAGCTCTCCGTCAGGCAGGAGGAAAATATCTCCTGGAAAACAGGAGGAAGTGCTGTCAAGAATGGAAAGGGCATTTTGTATCACATGCAGTGCCAGGACAAGGGGGAATGGCTTTCAGCTGCCAGAGGGCAGGGTTAGATGGGATATTGGAATGAATTCTTGTCTATGAGGGTGGGGAGGCCCTGGCACAGGTTGCCCAGAGAAACTGTGGCTGCCCCTGGATCCCTGGAAGTGTCCAAGGCCAGGCTGGAGAGGGCTTGGAGCAACCTGGGCTGGTTGAAGGTGTCCCTGCCCATGGCAGGGGGTGGCACTGGATGGGCTTTCAGGTCCCTCACGAGCCAAACCAGTGTGTGATTCCATGATTCAATGATAACATTTCTGTGGTGTTTCTCCTTCCAGCTTGACCCTCTTCCAGAGAAGGTTTTCCAGCAGAGAGCCAACGCCAATGCGGTGCATTCCATGGAGAAGGTCATCGAGATCCACAGTGAGTACCCCACTGACCCAGCTGGATCCCTTTTGGGTTGCCCTGGGGGGACACCTGTTTGCCTTCTCCACGTTCTGGCAGCTCCGTGTTCCCGTGTCCTGGTTTCCTGGCGGTCACTGCACCGTGAACTGGGTTTGTGCTGCCTCAAACTGGTCTGACTGGGCCAGCGCGATGCACAGCGAGCAGGTCACTCAGGGCAGTGCTTTGGCCCTCGGGGGGGAATTAGGGAATCAGGGCACGGTTTAGGTTGGAAAGATCTTTAGGATCATCGAGTCCAACCCTTAATCCAACACTAAATGAGATTAAAACCTCTAAAATCTCTGTAAAGCACAGACTGTGTTACAATCAGAGCTTACTCTTATTCCTTCAAAAGCAATTAAGTATCTCTGAACAACACAAGTCTTGTTGGGTGTTGCGGCATCCTAATTAAGGATAGACAGGCATGGAAGTGAAACAGGCTCTCAGGCACAGGGTGGGATTGCTGGGGTGTCCTGTGCAGGGCCACTTGATGGCCTTTGTGGGTCCCTTCCAACTCAGGATATTCTGGGATTCTGTGAGTGAAATTTGCTGGTATTTCAGGTTTATTCATCCAGGAAGGTTAAAATCACTGCAGTGGAGCTTTTCTGGGGAAATTCTTTGGGGGATGGAGTGGAAGAGCCTGAGTGATATGGGAATCCCACTGCTATGTCCTGATATCTTCCCACATCCAACATTTGTGGTTTAAAACTGGAGGGGGATTGTCTCCCTTTTATAGGGTGAAAAGCTTAAAAGACACCACACTATGGGGGTTTTTTCCCCCTAAAAATGCCAGGTGGCTTTAGAATTTGAATTCCATTTCCAGAAGCTTTTAAGGACCACTGGGACACCTCAGCAGCACCTTGAGCCAGCCAGTCATACATTGATTTTTCTCTTTAAAATGAGCACAGCAAATTAAAAGGGGTTTGGAGTAAGACCCTCAGATCTGCTGCCCAGCACAGGAGAAATGGAGATGCTTGAAAACAAGACCCTTCCTCCCCTTGTTCCACCCTCACTATCTGGGTTCTTGCTTTCAGGTTTTGCTGTGGCTTTTTGGGTATCAGGAAATTCCTGGGGGCCAGGAGAATGTCCTTTATTCCCTTCCCTCTGGTGTTTCCAATGAAAAAGGGTGGCAAACTGCCTGCATAAAAAAAAATCCATCAAAGGTTGAAGTTTGGACTTGATGATCTTGGAGGTCTTTTCCAACCTTCACAGTTCTAAATCCAACTTGGACTTCGTTAGTTTTAGGGAATTTGCCCAGAAAAAGCATGTGGGAGTTAGGAACTGAATACAGGTGTCCAGTCTAGGTCTGGACTGAATCCTTCCCTCTCCTGTGTTTGTCCTTAGGTCTGGAAGTTTCTGAGGGTTTTGATGTAAGAAAGGAAATTTCAGGAAATTTCAGGAAAGGAAATAAATTTCAGGAAAGGAAAGGAAAGGAAATTTCAGGAAAGGAAATTTCAGGGAATTTCAGGAAAGGGAAGGGAAGGGAAAAGGGGGAAGGTTATTATTTGAGCACCATGAAGTGAGAGCAGGCAGGGCTCAAGGTCACATGGGTGTGATGAGCGTTCCCAGGGTGGATCTGAGAGGGCTGGTGGGTCTGGGAAAGCAGGAGCTGTGATGGGGCAGGAGCCCTGATGTCCCTGTTGTCCCTTGTCCCCCAGGCAAGTACTGGCACTCCCTGCAACGTTCTGCCTCCACAGTGGGCTATTCCCTGGTGGAGGCTCAGAAGTGTGAGAACGAGGAGGCAGAGACGGTGACGGCCATGGCCTCGCTGTCCGTGGGCGTGAAGCCAGCAGAGAAGAGGTGAGCTGCTTCCCTTCCCACCTCCCATCCCACCCCTTCTGGGCTCATCCTCTCCTTCTGCATTCCCTGTCCTCCATGGATTCCTAAACCCCTCCTGGGTCGTGGGCTCGGTGTGTGCTCCCCGTGCCTGGCCCTGCTGCTCCCGCCAGAGCCCGGCGTGGGTTTGGGCCACGAGGGGGAATTGATCTTGCTGCAGGAAATGGGAATGTTGCACAGGGGCTGACCACTGACAGGACCCCAGGGAATGGCCTGGAGTTGTGTCAGGGTGAGTTTAGAAAAAGGTTCTTCCCAGAGGGTGGTGGGGCACTGAACAGGCTCCCCGGGGCAGTGGGCGCAGCACCAAGGCTACCAGAGCTCCAGGGGTGAGAACAGATTGTCCAAACACCCTTCTCAGGGGCGAGTTTTGGTTCCAGGTGAGCCAGCTGATCCCATCCCGGCAGGTAGGAAGGTCATGGGAATGTCACGGGTGAAACTTGGCACCACTTTGTCCAGCTCTGCCGTGCTCAACCCTCTTTTCTCTCTCCCCTCCCTTCCCCATCCTGCCTGGCCGTGAATCCCCTCAGACCTGAGGACGAGCCCATGGAAGAGGAACCTCCCCTGTAGCATTAACCTTCGAGCTGGAGTTCTCCTGTCTGTTCGTCTTCGTCTCGAAGCTCTGCCAAGAAGCTTTCTCTTGTTACTCCTGCGTCCTGTCGCGGTTAATTCCAGAACACGGGAAGGACAGCCAGGTGTAAAGCAAAGCAACCGACAACAAAACCGGAATCTCTGCGTATCTTTGAGTCTCTGTTTGCCGAAAAATGCTGGTGAAGAGCAGCAAAGGACTGACAATGTTGGGTGCTCTTCCTCTGGTCCTCACTGGGAGCGGAACGAGGAACGACGCCCGGGAAGTCTTTGGCAGAGTTGCCAAAAAACACACACAAAAAAATATAAAGAAATCAAAGCTTCAACAACAAACACACGCGAAAATAAAACAAACCTTAACATAAAACTGGTGCTTACAAGCTGATGACCCACAACTGAGCAATCTCCGCTTGAACCACTCGGCCCATCGTGTAGTTTCATTTCTTGGATATTTTGGAATGGCTCTTGCCTGCCTGGGAGTCAGCGACAGCTCCTGTCGGAACGGGAACTCTGGGAGATGGTGTATTTTTAACGGGGAGGGACAGGGAATGAGGGACTCATCTGACATCTAAAGGAAAGGGAAGGAGAAAGGGGGAAACGTGAGCCCAGATGGAGTCGGCTTTATGGTCTCCAAAGCCATCTGAAGATGAGTTTGTGCCTTTTTTTCTAATTGATGGATTTGGTGCAGCTGGATTTTCTGAAGTTTGAGGAACAATGCCTTAAGTAAAAAAAAAAAAAATAAAAACAAACAAACAAAAACCACAAAGAACACAGCAGTTCCTGAATATTTTTCCTCTGGTTGGGAAAGCCAAGAACTGCCATCAGGAAGGAAGACTTTTTGGCTTGTGCTGGCATGATGGTGGGAAGCAGGCATCAGCTGAACGGAGCGTCTCCAAAAACTCTCGACAAGTTTGGATTTGTTTTGTTTTCTTTCATTGCTGTTTCAAAAAAAAAAAAAAAAAAAAGGAAAAAAAAAAGAAAAAAATAAGGTAGTTGCCAAAAAAAGTGGCAAATACTGTTGGGTCTTTGAAATTCAACCATTTTTAACAACAAATTTTCCAATGTTTTCTCTCTCTTCTACATTATCTGGCAATTGAACTTATCGATTTGGTTGTCGAAGCATGTATTAGACACAACTGCAGGTTTTAAGACTGGAATGCTTTTTATTAAAAGCAACTAGCATGAGATATTGCTTAAATTGTTAGGTATAAATATATATGTGTATAATGTATAGTCCAAATGTATTCCAAGCTTAGAAACCGGATTCCTATGAATTATTGAGAAAAATATTTATGATGCATTTCTAGGAAAAAAAGAAAAAAAAAGAAATATATGTAATAAATGCATACTCTAACAGTAGCTATTGGAAGCTCCCTAGGGAGAGATTTGGGAATTGGAACGTCCAAGGTGCTTTTGGAAAAGGATCCAGGTTGAAACATGAGGACTTTTCAGGTGACAGGTTGGGAAGTTTTTCAGAAAGCCAACACTTGAGCCACTGGGCAACTACCCTAAACATTTGTATTTTAATTTAAGGTTTTTAGTTGTGATCCTTTTCTAACAAAGACAAGAAAACAAAGAGTTTTTTATAGCGAAGACGATGAATTTGCTGTTAATTTTTATATGGATCTTTTCCCGCCCCCCTCCGGAAGCCTTGTTTGTGTGACTCCGACCTTTCTTTCCCCCTTGGCAGGTTTCCTTCCCCGACAGCAATAGCATCTAAACCTCCCTCCCTTCCCGCTTTTCTTGCTCGGACATGGATTTTCCTTTGGGGTTTTGCCTTTTCCTTTCCGGTTTTCTCTCCTTTTCCTCGACTCTTTTGGACAGTCAGCAGCTTCCTGCAGGCGTGAGGAACCGTGGCACACGGACAGAGTTGATTTTTTCGGGATTGGGTGCGTTTTTTCAAGGAATAGGGGGCGTGGTGAGCTCTTTTGTATCACTGTATATTTCCTCAGTTCTCTTCTAGTAGCTGTGTAGAGAAAATAAGGAATTTCCTTACCTTTGACATAGTAGTATCCAATGGGCGATGTCTTTGTCCTCCAAGGATCACGGGAGCCTTGGGACAGCTCGTTGGACACTCATTCCTGGCGTTTTCTCTCCGCCGGACCGACGGATGCCCTCAGACCTCCCACCTCTCTCTTTTTCTCTCCTCTTCTTCCTCTCGTTGGTAGGGCTGGAGGTGTTTTTTCCCCCGGGAATGCCGGATGGGAGAGGCAACCAGCCCTTCCATGAGGAGTTGAGCATCCTAGAGGAGCATCTTGGAGGCGCCGGCGCCGCCTCAGAGCAGTGTAGGACAGCACATCCCTGCTCCCAACCCCCACACGCAGCTTCTCCTCAATCCCTGTCATTTTACCATCCCTATTATTTTATCCTGTTCCCGTGATGACTGACGGGGCCGCTTCCAGTAACTTCCTCTTTTTCCAGTTCTCCAAGCAGCCGTTTCCTTTCCGTTCAGGAGTCACGGGAGGCATTGGAGGTGCAACCCCACGTGTGAGCAAAGGCAAGAGGCTTTTGGTTTATTCCTCCATTTCTAATGCAGTTGAAAACACTACAGTAATTGAGTTGTGCAAACCCAAGTACGTCCGAAAATTCGGAATTTTAAGGACCATCCTCAGTGTATCCTAAAGAGAGTCCCGTGTGAAAACACGAGGGACCTGGGGATGGGGTGGGCCGGGATTTTTTCCACCCGCCCGCTTTGCTGCTGTGACCTAAAATCAATCCCGCTGCCGAGTTTGGTGACTGACTTGGAATTATCCTTGGAATTGTCCTCCCTCTGTGGGCAGTGACCGTGTTCACACCCTCCTTTCTCTTGCCAGCTCTTCCCTGGAAGGTTTTTTTCCCATTTCTCCTCTCGGTCGTGGCAAAGCTTTTTCCTTCCTTTTGGGCCTTCCCAGGAGCCACCGGCTGACCGTGCTGAGCCAGTTCCTTTAGGAAAACTGGAGGAGCTCGTCGGGATCCCACCTTCCTTCCTTTCCACCATTTCACTCAGCTTTTTGCCAGGGATGGAAAGACTTTTTTCCCGAGACTTCAGAGCTCGTCTCCTCCGAACTCCGGGTGACGTAGATTTGTTTGAGCGTCACCCGCTCCCCTGGGGATGCTCTTCCCCGGGGATGCTCTTCCCTGAGGATGCTCTTCCCCGAGGATGCTCTCTGGGGCCGGTGCAGGCGCGGAGAGAGGGGAAGGAGCCCCCGTTTTGAGGCTCCCCGGGGTTTTTTCACCTTTTTGAGCCATTTGCTTCTTCATTTCCGATGACTTTGCCATAGGGCAGGAGCCCGGGATGCTCCCGCATCCCATCGTGGTGCTGCCCAGGGCATCTTTGTACCTGCTTGGGAAGAAAAGGAGCATCTTTAAATCCTCTTGACAGTGAAGTGAGGCCCAGTTTGCAGTACACAACCATCAGGGGGGTTTTTTTTTGGGGGGGGGCGTTGTTGTTTTGGGTTTTTTTTTCTTCTTACTTTCGATACAAAACATTCCTTTTTTTATTAGTCACGGTCACGTCTTCATTCCATTCTTCCTTTTGTAAACTTTTTTGGGCCCACGTTCTTTTGACGGGCATTGATATATATAAATATATATATAAATATATATGAATATATTTTTTTAAGTTTCCTACACCTTGAGGTTGCATGGTCTGTAAGGTTGGCATGTCTTTATATTGTATACAGATTTTGCACGCCACACTTGGCAGCTTTGAAAACAATAACAAAAAAAAAACAAAACAAAACAAAACAAAAAAAATGGTGGTTTGGGGTTGGGTTTTTGATTTTTTGTATTTTTTTTGAATTTTTTTGGGTTGGTTTTTTGTTTCGTTTCATTTTGGTTTGAGATTTTCTTTTTTCCTCTCGTGGCATTTGCAGAGACTAAAGGTTGGGATGTTGTTGTCACACACACACACACACACAAAAAAGGAAGGAGAGTGGGAATTTTTGTTTGTCTCACTGAACTGAATAAGAAATTGTGCTTTTTGTTGTTCAAAAGAGTAACTACAAAGAAAGCAGACAAAGGACTACTTACACATTTCTCATTTTAAGAAGAGAAGAAAAAAAAAAAAAACTAAGACGTTTCTCTAGCACTTGTGACTTACCAATAATAGAGTTTATTGTATTTATGCGGAACCAGTGTTTTTAGGGGGGACTACGCCGAACACACCAAGTAAACTGCCTGTGTCCTGGTTACTCTCGTTATTCTTCTCATTTCCTTTCGTTTGGGTTGGTGTTTCGCTTTGGTTTCTCGCCGGGGTGGGGAGGAGGTTGGATGCGACGGACGCGACCCTCGCGTCGGAGCCGCCAGTCCCGAGGAGAGCTGCGTGGCTGAGGAGGACTTGAAAGAGTTAACTCTCCAGCACAGCCGAACTTTTGTAAGGAATTACTTTTCCAGGATGTATTAGTGCTCGGTTTCACTTTAAGCAGTCTTGTACTGTGCAACACTGTGGTTTAAAAAAAAAAACAAACGAGACTTTACAGCGAAAGGCAAAACGTGTTTCTTCATTGTCGTGAGGTCGGGCTCGTTCTCAGCTCGGCTTCGCTTTGTCTTTGATATTGATGAAAAAATAAAAAAAAAAAAAAACCACACACACACACACAAAAAAAAAAAGAAAAAAAAAGAGAAAAAAAAAGTATCCTATTGAAAGAAAATAAATTAACACTTTTCTGTGCTCCATAGTGGAGGCGCTATTTTCCAATTTATGAGGATGACAAACTTATATATATAATATATATATAAAAAGTGGGGGCGGGGAGGGGGGGAAGGGGTTGAAACATTATTCACCCGAGAGCTTATTACAGATATGTAGTATCAAAAAGTTGTAACTATATTATATTCTACTTTATACCTATACATGCTCAGTATGATGTCACCATTGGTAGCAGCTACCGGTTTATGCTGTAATTTAGACAAATTTCACTCTTTATTGTATGGACCCTCCTTTCAGTGATTCTTTGTGCTCATCTTTTAACTTGGTGGAGTTGGAATATTTTTATCGTTCTTTTCTTTTTCTTGTTTTGGTTTGTTTTGGGTTTTGTTTTTGGTTTTTTTTTTTTTTTTTGGTTGGTTTATTTTATTTTTCTCTTTTCTCTTTATTTTTATTTTTCTGGTTTGGTTTTGTTTCGGTTTTGTTTTTGTTTGTTTTTTTTTTTTTTTACTGGCCAATGGTGTCTTTCTCTGACAGTACCGACTTCGATTTCAACTTTATTAGGAGTCCAGTATTTTGTACCACATTATGACAACTTGTTATTCTTGTGGTGTAAATAAAAAAGAAAAAAGTTAATTATAGTACCACCCTGATTTCTCTTGCTGATCTTCTTTTCATCTGGTGCTTTTGGTGAGATGGGATGGGTCAGGTCTCACACAGGTGTCCTTTATCTCATTTATAATGGGCCTTTTTCATCTGTTTTTTTAATGGATTCATTCCCCTGTCCTACAGGGGGAAGGTTTGGGATCATGCAATGGTTTGGGTTGGAAGGAACCTTAAAGATGATCTTGTTCCAGCTCCTCTGCCATGGGCAGGGGCACTGAATTCTTCAAACTCAATGCAATTAAATTTAAAAAAAAGGGGGGTTTTGCTGTGTTTAGAAGGGTGAGGATGCAGACACGGTGCATTTGTGCTCTGTCAAGGCACAATTACCCACTGGTCACCAGCTTCAGATGCCTGCAGGGACAAGAAACCTGCTTCCCATTAAATCAGGAAGGGAATGGGGAGCAATTCCTGAGCTTTAAAGATGATTAAGCCCCAGAGTCCTTGAGCAAAGCTTTCAGAATTTCACTCTTCGATTACATGAAGGGAAAAAAATGATGAAAAAATCCCTCCTTCCCCACTGCATGGAGCAATTCCTGAAATCCTCCCCAATCCCTGTGGATAATGGAGCCAGGGTGAGCTCAGCTACCGCCTTCCAGGCCGGGTTCACTCCATGGTGAGAGACAGGAATTCCTGGAGCCTGTTTATCCAGGAGGGGGGTCCTGGAGCTGCTGAGGGTCCTTGGCCCCCCCAAGCCAAGCCCAGCCTTTGGTGGGATGGGATCTTTCATCCGTTGTGAACAAAGGGGTTCCTTGCTGTTGTGGAAGGGGAGTCTTGGGGCCAAAGTGGGGGTTTTGGAGAAAATATCCCCATGTGGACATTGGGATGTCCGTGGAGAAGTTCCTGGAGCTTCCCAGTTCCGCTGTGGCTCTGAGATGTGTGTTGGCAGTGCCTGCAAAATCGAAAAATCCCACTAAAATTGAGTTTCCAGCAAGAATGGCTGAATTTCCCCCAAAAGCCACCAACCAGTGAGGGAAAACAGGGAAAACCCACGGAGGGACAAGCTGGCATTGTGTGTCTGGCTCTGTCCCGCCCCAAATCCCAGAGATCCTTGGTGGTGTTGCACATGGTGCTGTACCCCCAGGGCCGTGGGGTGTCCCCTCTCCAGCAGACATCCCTCTCCTCCAGGATGAGTCCCCTTCCCATGCCCAACTCTCCGGTTGGGATGCGTTGGCTGCCTTGGGTCTGCTCCCATATTTTCTGCTGCGCTCCCAGAGGAGGAAGGTTGGGACCAAAAAGGGTAAAATGTGTCTTTGGGAAAGATGGGGAGAACTTTGTCTGAGAAAGAGAGGCAAGTTGAAGCGGAGATGGT